TGTGTAAAATATGATATTAATTTAACATTAAAAAAATATACATATATTCTACAGTCGTCAGACTCAGAAGGTGAGATCCGGTCGTCCGGTCGTTTTGACGACTCAAGCAGCAGTGACGAGGAAATACTAAACACCGGAACCGGGCATCGGCTGGCGATGAAGCCGATTGGAAGGAAGCCGACCACATTCAAGATGGACGTCGTGGATTGACCGTTACTTTAGAAACGGTTATTTGTTGACTTCTTTAATATTATTTTTTTATCCCGAATCGCTGTTTAAGTTTTATATTGAAGACATACATTTCTGAATAATTTTAAATACCTAATTGTAATTCTCAAAAAAATCACGATATTAATATGTTTAATTAACATTATTTCTTATAGTAGTAATAATAGTATATATAAATGTATGTAACATACTATGATTATGAATCAGTAAATATATAAAATGAGGTCGGCCAACGGTATGAAACCAAGTACATAGGTATGACTTATTTAGATGTAAGTTGTTGATCATTAATTAATAGCGATTGTTGTAATTCAATGCGCGCGATTTCTGTATTTGTGTACTATTGTCATATTATTTTTAAATACAACGTGTATTTTTGATTACCTCAGAAAATTTAATAGTTTATTGCTGAAAAAGGAACCCTTCATATTGCATCGAATAAAGCGCCAATAATTAAACAAAAACCATTATGATTCTTGAAACGGCAATGTCAGGGATAAGCTATAAATTCACTTATATAATTGATAATTTCCGCTATGATAAAAGGAATTTAATATCAATAAATTTCATAGCATATTTTTATTTCGGTAAAAGTTTCAAAATTGCTTTTGACAGTAACAGACAGTTAGGATGATTTTTTCCTAACTGACTGGACACAGTCAAAGACTTCTATACTGAAATTTACAATAGTGAATCATGTTTGTAAAAATAAATACCCTTTATATGAGAATATTTCAATATTTTTCCTGGGTAATTCACAAATAACGGTGTATTATTATAAATAAAACGGAATCGACGCGTACGCTAGTCATTTAGTATAGTGTAGCTTATGTTAATAACCACGCGTAGAACGCACACGACTTTAGCAGGTTATAAAAATCAACATAATGTTTAGTTACAAAAACATAATATTTAAGTAATTTATACGGTCGGAATTGAAGTCGCGAGCTCTAATAATATAGTAAAGTCAATCGCTTAGCTACCATGGTATAAAATAAATAAAATAAAAGGAAGTAATATAAAATTGTAGTTTCTGTGGAATATAGTTTTCAACTTAGTTCTATTCTAGATATGAGGCTCAAAGGGCACCTTAATTTTAGATTGAAAAGATTCGCTTACTCACTAACTTCTTTCATCATCTTTGAGAGAATTTTCGGGAAGATGGTTAAATATGGGTCCTTTTTTTATTAAACAGAAAGATACGTTTTGACGTCGAAGTATGTTTTATTTGGAATAAATACATTCGGTAACTATAACTGATTTGCTTACAAAATATAAGTAAATACCAAATCTATGTGTTTTAAATAGCATAAAGGTCAAAAACGGGTGTAATATGGCGGCCTTAATATTTAACTTTAATATTGTATTGACATTATTATTAATAATGCGGAAACAAACCTCGCTGATGGCACTTTGAATTAAAATTTAACTGTGTAGTTAACAGCAGCATATAATTTTAATACAAAAGCCTAATTTATACAACCAATTTTAAACTTGACTGTTAACTGATTAAGGCTTGAAATCGAATGACAAAAGCCTTTTTTAATTATCTGAACTTAAGTTGACTGTAGTGTACCATGGAGCTCGCAAAAGGTGCGAAACGTTTGTGAAAATATTAAATTAAAGGCGTTCAAAATGATTCAAAGGTTGTTTCATTAAGCAAATAGTGTCAGAATAATTATAATAATATTATATTATTTCAAAACTATGGGAAAATGAATGATCATTATTTCTCATCTTATATATCAGAACTAGCTGTTTTTATGCTATTTCACCCGTGTAAATTATATCCTATGTTAATCGCGTATAATGTAACTTCTCGTAGCTAATTTTTAAAACAGGTCCACCGGTTTCGCAGCCTTTTAAATGTAAACAAACAAAGCCTTTCTCTTCATAACATTAGTTTACTTAGTTAGCCATTAGCAAATGGTGAATGGGTACACAGCTTTAGAATACTCAAGATGACGACGTCACGTATCACGTGCGTATCACGAACGCGGACCTTATTGTCAATAGATGGCGTTAATAGTAAATTAGCAATTGCTAATTTTATTTTTAGAAGGAAACATCCACCTCTTGGCCGCCATCTTATTATTCGTAACAATCACTTTCAATTTATATTGTCAGCCATGTCTGTCTATCTATTGTAATTTTGATAATTATTTGAAAAATATAATACATCTATTATTATGTACCTACCATAATTATGAAAAGGAAAGTTTTGATTGTTTTTTATGCATTGAATAGGCATCAAATCTACTAGACCGATTTTAGAAATTCACCTATGGGAACCTTCATCATATGCAAATGACGTAGACTATAATTGACGCAGGTGAAACAGCGGGAAACAGCTAGTTTAGTACTTACTAAATAAAATCATTAAGATTTCAGCCTTCACTTCTAAGTGCGATAAGTTCTTTATCATAAGTGGCTTCTAAATGGGCGATTTTTTGGGATTAGTGGCTGCACTATCGGAAACTTATTGCCCAACCATCCCAGAATGTTTAATAGTCACCCGGCAACCTTTCAAAACAATATTGGCCATATCAAAAACGTTTGGCTATATGGCCGGCCAAAATATAAATAATAATATGTACATTTTGCACATTCAGCAGAGCAATTCTGCTAATTAGATCACATTCATCTTGATCAATATAATTTCAACTTTCATTATGTAAGCAACACTAAATTCACGAAAAAATAATTAAGTGTTTCACACAAAATTATAATAAAATAATACAATCGTTGATAGTATGTATGTCCTGGCATATAATAATATTACACCTTATATACTCGGTGGAACAGAACGACCCACACTCCCGAGGTTCCTGGAAAGTGTTATTTGTCTTTAATATGATGTAAAAAAAATTATATGGGTCAAATATTTCGGAGATATTAAATCACAAAGTTTTTGAAAAAGAATGAGTGTGTTCAACCCTGAGTCAGCTGTTTTTGGGACGTACTAAGGAAAAGTTTTTAATCGGTCATTGACTTTTTCATTTCTAAAAACGAAATAAACTAGTTTGTGATTTATAAGACTGCTTTCATGCTAATTCTACCAGACAATCAATAAACAAGGCAGTCAAAATGCTTAAATCGATTTACAGCCTAACAGCCGGTTTCTGATTTGAAAAAAAAGTAGAAAATTTCTACTGCTTATTCTCAATAACCTAAGTTTTTTTAATTTCACGAGTCAAATAGTCCTAGTTTTATCAATCTGCTATCAACTGATCATTAAAAAACTAAAATCGGAAACGAAAACTAAGTGATGTTAGTTTGAGACGTTTAACTTTAAATTCTCAATTAAGAAACCGAGTGTAACGTTTCCTAAATTATTGTTGAGAGGTCAGTCTAACATTAACCTACGTTCAAATTCAAACAAATTTTCATATTTATGGAAAATTTAAATATTTGTAAAAATACTCCTTGCGGCTGTTTGATTGGATTGCCTGAACATTGATGAAAATACGCTCTGTAATAGCAAAAAAGTAACAAGTGCTTGAAAAATTCGTCAGTCCTGTTAGGTCCACAGATCACTAAATATGGTTAGGTCTTGGGTTAGAGCAGTTGCCCGGATGTAGTGGGTTTGAGTCCCATCTCAGAGTGCCAAGGATAAAGTGGATTTTCAAGCATTTTTCATTTAGAATAGATGCTAATTCTATTTTAAGCAAAAACTAATTTAAATTATCATTAATGGTGGACAGACACGACCTTTATAAAAAAAAAGTGACAGGTCAATTAACGTATGGAAAGTGGACATGATTATATCGTTCGTGAACAAAAAGAGTTGGCCCTTAGAATGAATGCACCGGTTCTCGTCCGATCACCGAAGTAAGCAATATCGGGCCTCAGAATCGGATGGGTTACCGCCTGGGAACCGCGTGATGTTGGCTTCTTGCTTACGTCTAGTCCATATTTACAACGACAACAGTCAAAACGATTCAGTTTTTCCCTTTTTAGTGATAAAACACGCCCATTAATTTATCCTTGTACATCACTAATCTTTTTTGTTTCCATGGTTTCTTTCTACTTTTGTTCTACTGTTTTTCCTGGTTCGAAAATTCGAAAGATTTCAAATCGCTCTTATAATTTTGCTAAAATCATATTTGTAAAGATTATCAGATCATCAGAGGAAGTGTCAGGTCCTACCCCCGTTGCATCATAAATGAACGAGATGGTTTTCATTGCAGTCATATAAAGGTTTATAAAAAAACGAATAAACAAAATACTTCTAGTCATCTGGTAAAGTATATACATAGAAGTCCTTGGTTCTACATAGACTAATTAGCGACGTAAACGAAATGCTCAATAATGAGCTAAACACTTAAATTGTTCGATTAGGTAGCTAGGGATGATATCCCATTTAGGTGTAGTATATTGATGATATTAATGTAAGGTGATTGTAATTATCAAAATATAATAAAAATTGCTAACTGAGATTTTATTTTCATTTACGACCTTACTAGATCGAGCTAGAATGAACCTTAAGCCCTCGTATTAAAAGCTTAAACCATCGTTACCAAAACTACATAGACCAAAGACAATATACAATACTGGTTGTTGTCGTACTTAACCCTCCGTTGTTTCTGATTTCTATAAGTGATTTAGCTACTTAATTTGAGAACTAAAGAATATGACGCTCTCTAAATAAAAAATATATATCTTCAAAGTAATGCTTGAACTAAAGTACGTAAGTAAAACGTCAAGAGATCAAGAGTTGAATGTCTAACCAACATGGTTTGATAATTAAATAAATAAAAAACATCATATTATAATAATAATAACATTTATTTTTATGTAAACAAACACTTATTTAATTTTAAATAGAGATTTAATATGAATTTTGTAAAGGTAAGTACACACTTCTTCTAATTCATCAATAATTTCATTACAATTAGATTAATATTTCTAATAAAAATTCTCTCTAAATTGATGGGATATTAAATAAATAGAGATAAAACACTAACAAAAAAAATATTAAAGCTATAATTGAGAATAAGTGAGGACAAGCGAAAATAATGTCATTCGAGTATTGTGTTAGAAGAATTTTAGTAAAAACATTGATAATGTCTGGGTAATTAATTTGAAAAATGAAAACAAACAATAGTCCATTCTTAATACCACACATATTATATAGGAGTCGAAAGAAATCGATATGTATCGTTATCCATAAAACTGTATTGTTTCCGCGGAGTAGTGTGTTTTGTCATACTCAACGCTACAGATCACTGACCCCACCCTCTTCAATAAAAAAATACAGAGATCCTATGAATAGCAATACGTCTCGTTTATTTTCAAAGGTCACATAATACTTTATGTATGTGTTTTTCGCATGCCCTAGTTACAAAATATAACTCACAATATTACAAAGATTAAATAAATAATACATACACAGTTAGGGTTGTCTATTTTATCTTTTACAGTGCTATATCCACTGGTGGCAGTTTGTCAAGGCGTATTTATGCAATGAATAAAAATGCAACTTATTACTATGTTAATAAAATTTAAATTTCCAGGAAAGTTATTGTAGAAGAAACGAATCTGCTTGGGCATGCTCTCAAAGACCGAATGCTTCGAAACGAGAAGCGCCTGCGCTCACTCTTATTTAGAAAAAAAAAAACAGTCAATGGTAGTTAGCTTAGCGTCAATAGTACCCAAAAACTACAGCCTTTTTGCTGTTGTGATTGCGTGTAGAAATATTGAAGATCGCCCTACTAGATACGGCAACTAATGTATACGTTCCCTAAGGCACCGTCCATCACATAAGGCTATTTATTGGTAGGCTCGCAATGTGACTGCATGACTAAATACCTAATAATTAACCGAAATCAGTAGATTCTCATTTCTTTGAAACAGGAAAACCGGGTGGTCATATAGGTACACTGATTTTTAATTAGATAGACTAAACTGACACATGGTAGGTTGCCTCTTTATTGTAATTAAAAAAAAACAGATTATAATTTAAGTCATAGGAAATGATCCATGAATTATGATTCAATTGCCATAATTGTACTTTATATCGATTATACTAAAATAATAGAACTTATTCAATTTCGTGTCTTTGAAATAATTAAGTATTTTTTTAATACAACTAGAACTTCGATGAGACTGTAAGTACGAGTATTTCCAAACAAAATAACATAATGTAGGACATGGAGACCCAAGACATCAAAAATCACTTTCCGAGTTCTTTTGAAAAAAAAAATTGAATGAATCATATCACAGAACGGAGTAAGACAAAAACTTGAGCTGTCTGTTAAGTTAGTTCATCTAATTAAAAATCTGATAATAAATAATAAATGAACGGCGCCTTACTATCGCAAACTAAGCAGAGATTCTAGCGTAAATATAATACATATGCACTTGACAAGTATTTAAATCACAAATGTGCAATCACTTGAATATCCAATAGTTATATACATAGTAAAATTTTAAATAACACATTCTCGGTAGAATTAATTCAAGGAAATATTGCACTAAATTCATTAAGTACCTAATTATGTCAATAAAAAAATTATACTACCTAATTAATTGTCTAGAATTCATCGATTATAAAAATCTATGCCCATATACCTACTTAAAATGATGTTGTTATGATGATGATAATTTATAATCGTTAATTACATATGTTTCTATCAAAAACATTTATTTAGTTTATAAAGGTTAAATAAAGGTTTTTCCAAAGAATAGGGACCTCGAATAGTTACACGACAGACAGACAGACAGACAAAAATCAGTCATTATCCCTATTCTAGCCAGCACGTCAGTATCTTAGCACGAGAATTATGGAATACGTTTGAATCAGTAACTAGAACACATATGTCAAAATGCATGTATTGGAAATTTTAGTTCCCTATAGAGAAGTAGATGGCGCTGTGTAAAATAAATACAACGATTTGACATATTGTGCTTGGTATGAAACTAATTCATACTTTATTCGTTTTCGTGCTAAGAGCACATGATGTTGAACAGATATAACTGACGTATGGTTAAAACTTTAACTGGACACCAATTTTTAAGGCGATTCAGAATGTAATTAACAAATTACTTTAATTACAAATATGCAATATAAATAAATAAATTGTGAAAGAAGGAATAATTCTGTAACACATAAAACCATTATAACATGTCATTAGAAACAATGACTTACGAATTCTATACCTTACTGCTACGGAATAAGACATATTTTAAAAACAAAATATATCTTCAGAATACGATTTGATATTTTTTTCAATAAATATATTCATTTAACCTTACAAATTACATTAAAATGATTTTAACTAAAATACTACTGCCCGCTACTAAAAATTAATTGTCATTTCTAAATAAAAGAAAAAGATTTGAGCAAAGAACTTACTCATTTTAAGCTAAAACTTACAAAGATGATATTCAAAACTAAGTATATTCGAGGCATTAAAACTGCATAATTTTGAGTTCTGACTACAAGTCAGTTAACGTTAAATTTAATATTGACAACAAATATACAGAGCCAGATAAGGGGGGCTGTTTTCCGTAGCTTTATCGTTTTCTCTTACTACCTGCAACAGCGAGAAAGATGGCGTGGTGGCTGTCGCCTAGAGGATTCTATGCAAAGCCACACCCGCTACCTACCTCGCTCTAACATGAGGTTTCTGAGCGATAGAAAAGGATAGAGCGATGGCAAAAAGCGATAGCGTGCTGACAGATGAATCTCGGCTCTCAATAGCGATGGGGTCATACATAAATTACGTCACACGAATTCCATGATTTCTCCCTGAAATTCTTTTACATATTATACTAATGTCATATTTTATCGATCTCCTCCTGTGACGTAGTTTTGCAAGTGTTGACAGAAAAAAAATGTAAAAACTAAAAACAACTAACCACAGACAATGAGAATGAATGAAGACCACCTTATTTCAAGGATGATAGCAGAAAGGGCATAGATTAAAAACGTACCGTTACATAGCCTCGCTCTTATTATTTTTCTGTGTCAATTTACTAAGTGTACTCAGTTGCGGGAAAGCTGTCTTATTCTGTACCGGATTCAATCTTGACGTCATATAGATGAATGGTTCGTATAAAGACGGTCTATCCATCGCGGACACTTCAAAATGGCGGACTTTCTCTCTGGCACACCAGTTCGAGGCTTTCGAGCAGGTGTTTTCTAAGCTGTTCACGTCATCGGGACCTGTTCGGTTGCCGATAACTAACATTACCACCTGAAAGTTTTATGAATGCTATAGAAATATCAATAATAAATATTTTGATATAACGTGTCACTATTCTATTCTACTATAAGTCTACGAATCGACAAGAAACCTGAAGGCCTATTCTGTTTGGCCTCGAACGAAAATTCGGAAAATGTAAAATTGTTTTGATAAAATAACAACAGTGGATTATCGGTACATCAGAAGCAATGCCAGGTCTTACGTCCGTGGCATCATAAGTTATTGAAAAATGCGTTTTCTTTGGAGTCGTATTAGCATTTCGAAAATAGACGAAATTTCGTTTTCTTAGAAATAGAATAGGCCTTCAGTTGTCATATTAATTCGTGCGAGTAGTACAATTTACGCAAATTACGTCTCCATAGAACATCGCAACTGAAGTCAACTAAATACACCCTTGAAATATAGACTTTAATACGTTACGTTAAGGTACATATGTAGTACAACCCACGACTATCGAGACGTGTAATGAGTAATGACATATGGACATGGTGCACACACATCAGTCGAACACGCGGAATGCAGCAGAAACTTCTACACATGTACAGTATTATTTTATTAAAAGTCTAATATGAACTTTAATGATGTTTTTTCCACGCACAGAGGCCTACTAATTCTGATGAAGTAAATTGTAAGAAACTAATGACACCTTAAAACATTACTAGCTTATAATAATTCAGGTAACATACTTCTTTTTTGTCCTTGTTTCTATCTATGTCCTTTTTTAAATACATAAGCACATCCAGTGATTCAGGTTTCGTGGTATCATACACCATAACAAAGCCTTCAGCGAAACTGAGGTAGTGCCGCTGCAGCACTTGGTTGGCAGTCAGCTGCATCGTAGGAGATTGCGGGGGACCTGCAATGTAAAAAAAAAATTCCATTTTCATAAGTTTTTTAATGGAAGTAGTTATGTTATGATATATAATAAATCCTATATATCCAAGCTTTTTAAATTATATTTACAACGTCATGTTACGCTCATATATGGAATAAATTATACTTAATAGTTAATTATAAAAATAGTTGCATAGGGAGTGAAATTTGAAATTGAAGCTAGTTAAAGAGAAGTTTGTTCATATTTTAAAATATGTTTTATTTATTTTTTCAATACCTTTAATACTAGAGAAAGAGATATTAGGAATTTGGCATTTTTTCACTAAATTACCAAAACCAATTAAAGGCGAATATTTGGTTTTGGTGCTGAATACATTCAGTTTGAGTACTAATATTTCTTTGGCCTAGATAACACAGTATAAAATTATAAAAAATAAAACCTCTTTATTAACATTTAAGTTTTATTAAAAGTCATAAAAATCCTATGAAATAAAAAAAAATATATTTTATAAACTATAGACAAACTTCAAATTGAGGTTGATTTTTGAAGTTTTATTAAAAGTCATAAAAATCCTATGAAATAAAAAATATTTATTTTATAAACTATAGTCAAACTTCAAATTGAGGTTTCAATTTATTTATGAATATATTTAATTGGTAAACTGACAAAAATAGACACTACAACCTATTTTATTCTTATAGTGTCTCTCTGTTTTTATATACCTATACAGTGACGAATGTACTATAAAAATCTAATAGAGGTCATTTATAAAAGACAAGGAAAAAGAAGCATACATATTCTAGTATTTATGACTATGGCACAGATATACCAAGCTTTCAGGCAAGAGTCTGTTATTTTTATTTATAGGTTACTTGGTTCCAAAATAATTGTTTGTTACACACACTACCACCACCACTACCACTGAGAAAAATTCAAAACAATGAAATAATAAACCTAATAATTCAAGCAAATATCTGGTTCAGTTAAGATTAAACTGAAGATTATTTGGTATTCGGTTAACTAACAGTACTTCAGTGAGTGTTACAATCAACATCACTAACTATACAACTTGCCTGTAAGCGGGGGCTCGAGACCTGCAGTATCGTAGAAGCACACTCTCTCTTTAGTCCCTCTGTCTGTCTCAATGTTAGCCACGTAAATATCCTCGATGGTTGCATAAAATGAAGACTTCATCGACACATTTCCATATATTAATTGCTCCAGTATAGCAGTTTTTCCAACACCTTTCATTCCACAAATCACAACTTTGCTAGATTTACCCATTTTATCAAAATTATTTAGAAAATCACAGCTTCTAAACTTTTAACTAAGATTATGTATTCATTTAAAATCCTCTTATTTCTCTACGCATACATTAGAAATAAATAAAGTAATCGGTAGATATTTAATCTAAGTTATTATATTTACAAAATAAAAACATATGGTAGATAAAATTATATATTTATTTACGTTTTCCACTCTGACATTGACATTGACAATAACAACACAACACCGTAGATTATTACTGTTCTGTGCACATCACTCAAAGAGTACACAACACTACTATTTGACACTGACTGACTTCGTCCTCTTTTAATAATAGAGGCTTTTAATATAATGTGGGAAGACTTAAAAAAAATAGTTCCCGAAATCAAACAAGATGTCACTACGGTACGTTCTTGATTTCTCCATGACAACCCTTCCGGTTTTCTTTCATGTTTAAAAGTAAATTAGTTTCCAAACTCAATAAACAACTCATATTCTAGTTGTATTTTTTCGTATTTGTATTGATATCTAAGTTTCGAACTTTTCAGATTTCATTTTTTTATATGTTATTTAAAAGGAACGGAATGACTGTCTTTGGTTCATTCGTTTAAACTTTTGCTAGGGTCGCCATCTAGTGGAGGTGCTTTTTTAGTGGTTTCGTGTTTTTTTTAATACTTCCTCATTCTGCCAATGTCAAGTAATTAAATTAGTTAAATCAAAATAAAATAATTTTTACATGTAATAAATGACCGTGAAATTAATGAAAGATCCACTGACTGACATGAATAATTATTGATTAATGCCAACTGATTGGAAACTGATATTTATACAGAAAACCTTTCATCCAAGAGCAATAATTATTGTATCATTATCAGCAGCCAATTCGTATATCTGATACGATACCCTACACCGATGAGAATTTTTCTCCGAGAAGAGTATAAGCTTCTCCCCGTGGATCGTCACGACTTTCCTAATGATGTATGTACTCCATCCAATTCTTTATTCTATCAAGCAAGAATATCAGTATAGACAGGAAATTGAGTAGAAATCACAAACATGATTGATATCTCTGTTTGAAATGAAGTTGCTTTATGACTCATATCCAAAGTCGTTAAAATAAAATATAAAAAAAACTGTCATAAATGCGCTCGTTACTGTCATGTCAAATAGAGGTCGTTAAATTAGCGCTGGCGTGTGAATTAACACGCTAATCGTACTTAACGCTTAATGCTGTTAAGTATGTACACGTAAAGGTATTAAAAATTTTGCGTCTTAACGCGTAACAGTCATAAGTGCCCGGGCCGAACGAATAGTATTCGCGTGGGCGTGAACGCTAATGGACGCGTGAACGATTTATTCTCACCGTACGTTTAATAACTCTTCTTCTTCTGATATTGGATCAACATGAGCGAAATAGTAATACACGCGTTAACGATTTATGCTAGAACTATGTTAAATATGATCGTGTAATATTAACATAATTTAGTAAGTTGATATTTTAAATTGTTTAAATTAAATTGCGATTATGTGAGTATACATAGTTTATTTACTTTTATTTCACATGTATTTATAGAATTATATATTATAGAAATATTGTTTATATAGAATTAAATATTGTTTATTATATAGCACGCGCTCAGATCAAAGATCATCATTGTCATAGATTAATAAGGTTTTATAGTTCATAAAGAAAAACTGTTTGATGGTTGTCTGTTTGACATATAAAGTAAAGCCAGAGATCCAAATACATTACCAAAGATACAATATCATTTTATTATAAAAACTACTAAATACCTGCAAATAAACTAAAAGAGAACGTGGGCCAAGTTCCCCACAATCATGCTATAAATAACGTACTACGAGATTTATTGTACTGGTTGATTTAATGCGTTTGTCGCGCACCCTTTTGATTATCTTCTTATTGCGTTAATAAATTAACGCATTAATTAACACGCTAATTTTTCTTAGCATTTCGTTTCAGCGTGTTTATGTATTTTAGTTGTTTTGAACAACTCTAATGTCAACAATGTCAATTCGGTGTTTTTGACAGCATGGCAGCGACAATTTACGATTCAGAAATTACAAAAAGTGATAAATATTCAATATTACTCCCAACTTATAATGAGAGAGAAAATCTACCAATAATAATATGGCTTATAATGAAATATTTAGATAACAGGTATTGTATAATTGCTATGAAATATTTGATTGTAGTTCCATAATTTATGGCTTATTTTTCTATTTTTTATAAAAATAAAATTATATTTTTCAGTGGATATGATTTTGAGGTGATCATAATTGACGATGGAAGTCCAGACGGCACCTTAGATGTAGCCAAGCAACTTCAAAATATTTATGGTTCATCGAAAATTCTACTGCGTCCTAGGGAAAAAAAATTAGGACTGGGTACAGCTTACGTACATGGAATGAAGCATGCGACGGGAAATTTCATTATTATTATGGATTCTGATTTGAGCCATCATGTGAGTTATTAAAACGTAATATTTACGTTTCTTGCATTGAAACATTCCTGGGTTAGAAAGCCAGAGAGACCATGGTAGTTTTACTGTCTCTTGTTATTAATGTGTTAAAATTAAAACACAACTATTAACAAACCCTCAAATTTGCTCATGCAGTAGTGAGTAATGAGGTACTGCAATCTTCTCTCTCTTTCTGACCTACAAAAATAGCTTCTCTGTGATATCTGTAATATGAAAATTATACATATGAGATAAAATAATATGTGGTGAGTCACAATAGTTTTATTACAATTAATCACTGTCCTAATTTAGTAAGTATACTTTGTTTCTAGGGCAAACAAAAAAAATTTATAGTGATTCAAAGTATTATGTGTAAGTGTAAAGACAAATTACATATCTTTTTTGTCACTATCTCACTGTATTGTCTTTCAACACTTACATAATATTTTGATTATTTGCCCACCCTAGGAACAGACTACAATACTATCCTTGATAGTAGTCTTCATTCTGCACCTGTTTTGGGAACAGTACTCTTGAATGCAATTTTAATCCATTCCCATATTCAGCCAATAGGTGCTACTGTACCAATTCATGGGCATTAAATGTCACAATTGCAATGCCAATCAACCACAATTGCGTTCAAGCATAAGAATGCAGAAATCTCATTGATTCATTACTTACGATCTATTACGGATTGCAAAATTAACATCCCATTCCATCTAAGTCTATTTTAAGCATATTTAGTTTAAAACAATTATTTATTCCTCAAGTCTTGAGTAGTTTTTATATTTGTAATTTTTTTTTATTCTTTACCAAACAGCCAAAATTCATTCCACAATTCATAGAGCTGCAACAAGAGCAAGACTATGATCTGGTCTCTGGCACTAGGTACAAAGATGGAGGTGGTGTATATGGGTGGGATTTTAAAAGGAAACTTATCTCACGTGGTGCCAACTTCATCACACAACTGCTACTTAGACCAGGAGCTTCTGATTTAACTGGCTCATTTAGGTAATAAAAAAGAAAACTTGATGTTGTGAAGATCCTTCTATCAAATATTTTAATTATAAATTAACACTCAATCAAAAACGGAGTTAATATAAGTTAGAAATTGGCAAAAAAGGTTTTATTTAAATTTACCAAAAAATAAAATGGTATGCTATATTGGATATAAATCGAAAGATGTTTATGTATTATATATACTGAAAAATGTTCTTAATGAAAAACAAAGTGGATTTTTTAAGCATTTATTTATCATAATCTTCTCAGTAGACTCTTTCATTTGATACCCAGATTATAATAGTGGTAGTGGTCTTACATATTATATTTACAAAGAAACATATTTTCATATTTTTCTTAGTAATACTTCTCATTTGATATGACAGTGTACAAATAAATAACTAGGCTACTATCTTGAGCCATCTGATATATGTATTAGATTTTAAATGATCTAACTTTGTTAACCATAAAAATTGTTGTACTGCCACATACATATCATGCTTTTTTTAACTCTATGATATCATCTAATCTTCTTGACTATGGCGAGATTTACTCATGAAATTTAATCTATTCTATAAAAAATAAATTCTTTGTACAAGAAATAAATATATTGATTTCTTATATTTTCAAACGCACTATCCATAAATGTTTTATTGTTTCTCAGATCCTTTACACAAGACTTGTCTTATGTGAACAAGGAACCTGTAAAGGGTCCGAAACGCCAATTAAACTTAATACAAATTCGATGGAACCATTTGAAAGTTGTTTCATTTAAGAAATAAATATGTTTCAGGTTGTACAAAAAGGATGTTTTACAGAAGTTGATAGACAGTTGTGTGTCCAAAGGTTATGTCTTCCAAATGGAAATGATTATAAGGTAAATGATTTCAATATATTGCTTTATTGTTAAACAACAACCAACAGTATACCCATCTATTAGGGTTCCGTACTCAAAGGGTAAGAATAGGACCCTATCACTAAGGCCACTGTCTGTCTGTCCACCACGAGGCTATATTTCATAAATACTAAAAACAAAATTAGAAAAATTTGAAACAGAATATTGATACCTCAGGGAACAAAGATCGTAAAGATCACTTTTGGCGAAAATGGGTTAATGATGTAATTTTGCATAGAGTTTCAAGTTCTGTCGATCTGTGTTTACAAAATTTCAATATGTATTTAAAAACATGTGTTATACGTTTCATACTTTTTCATATCTTAAACCAATCTTTTAAGTAAATAAATGCATTGGATCATAAAGTTGGTTTGGGTGTATCACTATTATTAATTCTATATTAATAGAATTTTTAAGCATAAAAGCCAGCTTAATAAGTATTTGTCCGATTTTGGTTGAAATTCGATATCCATATAGTTTAAAGTTAGGGAAGGTAAATACTCTTATAACAAAATTATAATTATACAATAGTCAATTTTACACTATATTTATAAGAATGCATTGGTTTTTAAGTCCAAGTGTCCACATAAATGTAGTTATGCCTCATTGAGAGTTTCTGAACAGGCGTATCTACCATTTTATTCAAATTTTTAGGTCTTAACTTCATGCTAAATTAAAACCTATGAAGCTTAGTCAAATACAAAATAGTTGGCGTTGAAATTCATTTAAAACCAAAGATTTAACAGTTATTACTTTATTCAATAATACGTATAAAAACAAGAAACCCATGAGTCAAAATTTTTTATCACGATTTTTGCGTCTCCTGTAGACACGATTTTGGTGTTTACGACCTTTCTTCCCAGAGGTATGTATGTTTGCGTTTTTTATTTATTTTCTTTGTGTAAATAAAAGTAAAAAAAAAGTTATTATTAATTAGTACTAATGGTTTAATCTCAAGAATGCCCTGTCCAAAAGGATTCAAACCGAAGTTGCAAAATAATCAATAGTTGACCTTAAAAACTTGTAACTAAGATAGTGTTGCCCTTACTTTCGACAGTATCGATTCTCAGTGGCGGACAAGGAAGGATGCGGTTAGTCCGCCATTGTCGATACTACCTTTGTATTAAAACAACTATTAATAACAAACTACTACTATTGACTTTCTTTTTACAGAGCAAGACAGTTCGAATTTACAATAGGAGAGGTTCCAATAACTTTTGTAGATAGAGTTTACGGGGAATCTAAGCTTGGTGGTTCAGAAATTGTCCAGTTTGCGAAGGCACTACTATATTTGTTTGCTACTACGTAAAATTAAATACATTCCATACTCAAGACGTGTCAGCTGGGATTATCTATTTATAATTATGAAGAGATTGTTTTTTATTTTATTTATGAAGAATAAATGTTTATTGTAAATTGGTAATATTTATTATTTGAATATTATGAGAGTTATAAAATGAACATTAATAGTTTAGGTATAACATAAAACAGCGATCAGTAGAACCATAATTATAAGTTACACCGGCGTCATACCATTTTTAAAGTCACTATCAGGCCCGTCTTTACCGACGGTGCAACGCACCCTGGTGCCGCGCGTTGAGGGGCGCCGCACCGATTATCATCGAGAAATTCCCTGTAACGAGGGGAGGACAGCGCACTGCTTGCACCCGAGCGCCTGTTTAAGACCTATACAGAAATTCCTAAAGTTCCACATTTGCGCACTATTTGCATGCGTGAGTACTATGTTTGATGGATGTAAGATGGGATAAAATTCGGGATTTTTCCCATTTGGGAAAATACCAGATTTTATCAGGGACAAAACCAAAAAGGCCATGTTTTATTTATAAATATATTTTTTTAAATGAATCAACTGATTTAGATGTATCCTATTTCATTCAACTATTTGATTTAATATATAACATTATCTGCTCTATGTATGGGATATTTACTTAATTGATACGCCAATCGTTTCCGAGCTATTGTGATGTTACCCAGCCACGGACGTATGATTTTTTTAACCGGGACAAAATCCTGATAATAGGCCTTCCCTCCCCCCTCTCGTTCCGTGAGACCTTTTTCTTTTCATTTAGCGAATTCCAAAATATCCATCCATGACATTTTGAAGATTATTTAGTGAAGCTCGTTCTTTTTTTAACCGGCTTCTTGCTAGTTTGCTACACACCTTTGGTAAAAAAGGATATTGACATTTTGATACATTTTTAAGTACACACGGCTGCACGTTAGGCTACCACAGTATGACAAATTTCTCTAATTTATTTTAAACTCTTTCCTCAATACATTAAGGTCTAAAATCAACTATAGAAATTTAAAAATATTGTATAGCCTGTGCTGTTGACAAAAAGTTATGCACATTAAAAGGTGTAAGAAAAAAAACATATTAGTGCGTGGGCCGAAAGAAGAGGTAGAGCTGAGTATATATTTGATTTAATTAACTGATCTTAGAACCTTGTCACGTTTTATTAATGCGTCATACTATTTAATTTTATCACCCAACAAATACATTTTATATATTCATAGATTGATTAAAATAATATGATTTTTTACACTTTATTGATACAGCTGTTCAGCTTTCTTACGTAGGTTATAATACGCAATTAAATACAAATCGTCGCTAATAGTAGAACAGCCACTTGGAAGAGAGAACTAATTATGTGGCAATTACTTATGTTACTGTTATTTCCAAAAGTGATTTTTGTAGACGGCCTAGTCAAAAGGTTTGGTGGTGATTATGATAATATTCTTGGTCTCGGTGAATATTCTGGACGTCCAAGAATAAGTCGTGTAAACAGCGCCCAACCTGACCCATTGTGGGTCTTGAGATTGTTCAATGATGGAACTGAAGACTTGAAGTTGAAGGTTGCTAGTCGTCTAGAAGAAAGGGATTTCTATTATGCTATTGTGCCACTGATTAAAAGGTAAGGTAGTCGATAATCTGTAGTTTTCTCAACATTTAAGAGAAACTGGAACACCAAGAACTATAAATTATATTCAAATTTCTTGCAGGACACCTACCACTTCGCTATAAATCACTATAAAATAAAGTCGCTTTCTCTGTCCCTATATGCCTATGTATGCTTAAATCTTTGAAACTACGCAACGGATTTTTATGCGGTTTTTTTCATAGATAGGGTGATTCAAAAGGAAGGTTTTTATGTAATAAGATTTTCACAGGCAATAAGGACTACTTTCTTCACGGACGAAGCCGCGGGTACAGCTAGTATAATCTTAGCCTAGGATACGATCTAAGTATTTATTGGAATGACTTAGGTATATTGGAAAAATTTGTTCAAGAAGTCTATAAATGTTCAACCATTTTCTTTTAGAAAAAATACTGATTAAATATTTATTTGTAGTTGAATTAAATATGTTATGACCAGTGGTCGAAATTAGGTAGAGTTATTCATGTACTTACACTGATTTCATACAGCGAAAGAATAAAGTGGATATGCCTCAAATCACGGGATTAATTTTAAAGAGCAGAAAAAAATTCGTGATTTTTTAAATAAAAAGTTATTTACTTTTACACAATTTAAACTACTGCACGCACGACTTTGTCAAACTTACATCAATGAAAGAAAGAAATAAAGAAACCCCGGGAAGGTCCACATTAATATCAACATTTCGATGCAAGTACATAAATAACTCTACCTAATTCCGACCTCTGGTTATGACTTTGAATGAACCCATTAGTTTAGTTTAGGGGTGTGTCATTTTTTTTTTCACAAATAAATTAACAGTTTAGAAGAAGAAGCAACATTGCCAAGACAGACCAGAAAAAAAGAAAGTGCAGTCCTAGCGATTTCGGAAAATGACAAACCGCCAAATAGGAAAATTTTGAAAAAAGAAATAATGAAAATAGTTAATAAATTTGCGTAAGTATTTGTAAAAAAAATACACACAAAAGTTAATGATGTAGAAATGTAGAAGCCGGCGGAAGAAAAGATTTACTACTTCCACAAGACCACATTGAACCCTATTATCAACAAAGTGGCATACTAGTAGAACAATCGCTTAACTCTAGCTATGACTCTAGCAATAGTATACGACATTTTAGCGACGATAGGGCGATATTTCTTTTATTTTACTACTTCGACATGTACAGTCAACACAAAACAAGTTATAAAAAAACTGTCAAATTTGGCCACTCAATTTTAAATTTTAATTCAGTAAGGGTTGAGTTCAAAATCCATTGCTGAATGTATAATGTCCAATTTTGACCATAAATTTACTAACGTGTCTAGTAATTATATCTCACTTACTTCTTACCAGGAAAATAAATATTAAAATAAAGTCAGGATAAAAATTGCAAGGTAGTGCTAGGTATGTCTATGTTTATTTAACCAAATACGATTCGAACCCTAAAATGACGGTTTGCCGCACTACCTCAATGCGATTCGGACCCAATGACGATTTGCTACGTTTCGTTTCACGTAAAAAGGAAAAAAATATTCTTTCGGCATATGGTAAAAAAGTGCACATTAACAATTACATTAAGATTTATTTACCAGTCGAACTTTAAAAAGAATTCATTTAAATGCATTAATTTTGAAAATAGCTTCACAGTTCTCTCGAGTTTTGACAGCTGTTATGACCTCAAAATATTATTTACAAATTATGCATCTCCCTGCACGCGTAGCATGACAAACTCGAGAAACGCTTTGTCTACACTCATTTGTCAATTTCTCGGGTCGATAGTGAGATATTGGATGGGCGCACCCGACAAAAGTGACATTTGAGTGTAGATAAAACGTTCTCGAGTTCGTCATGCTACGCATGCTGGTCTCCAGATCAAAAGATGCTAAGATATTCTTTTTTTAAAAAAAAACTAATTTATTATCATATCACTAATGGTGAGTAGACGCGATCTCAATAAAAAAAAAACATGACAGGTTAATCAATATATGGACAGTGGACATGATTTAACAGGTAGTAAAGCTTTTATATCCTTTAACCTCCATGCTGTAACACTGCTGTGCTGGATGTCGAGTTAGAAGCTGTTTTTAACAGAATAGTATAGCATTCTTATTCCTACCCAGCAAAGAGATTAGCCAATCAACCAAGTACTATAAACACTATACTCCGTACAAATATTGAACGACTTTTTTTAAATCACATACATTGCTCAGATCCCAAAGTAAGTAGCTAAAGCACTTGTATAATCACTAAAACAACCTGTGAAACAACGAAGTTACCCTATCATACATCATCGAATAACTAAAATAAAATTATCCTTTCAGACGCAGTATGAATTTATATCCTTTTGTTTCTCAATTTAAGTGCCATTATCAATTAAAAGGCACGTTTTACAACGTAGAGTGCATTTTTATTTAAACCAATGCAAACCAATATGAAGTCAATGTAACGAGGAAGTATTAAAAAAAAAGCATTGGTTACCGAAATCAAACTAGATGTCGCTATGGTACTTTCTTGATTTTTCCACGACAACTCTTCCTATTTTCTTCCATGTATAAAAGTATATGAATTTTCAAAACTCAATAAAGAACTCATATGCTATTTGTATTGATATCTTAGTTTCGAACTTTGCAAATTTCAGTTTTTTAATATGTTAAATAAAGGAACGGAAATGACTATCTTTGGTCCATTCGTTTCCTGCAAAAATCAACTTTTGTTAGAGTCCCCATCTAGTGAGGTGCTTTTTTAGTGATATCATTTTTTTATACTTCCTCATTACGCGGTAAGCCTATATGAAGATATAAAATAAATAGATAGAAGATTTAACTATAAAATAAAAAAATTCCAGGTTATCTACTAATGTGGAACCGGATTCATATTTATCTGAATCCGAAGATAAAGAAGTCTGTTCATTAGCTGTAAGTAATTTTTTACTACTTATAACTAGCTTTCCGCCAGCGGCTTTGCCCGCGTGTCCTCTAGTGGGATGAAAAGTCGAAATTCGTTCAGTAGTTTCGGTGTGATTGACGGACACAAACAAAGAAACTTTTACATTTATAACAATTAATTTATTTATAGGATAATTATTAGATTTGAATGGAAACTAATTTGAAGAGCTACAAGTAGATGGCGATAGTGAGTTTTAATAATTCATGGCTTGTGTCAAAAAGGTCGTAATGGCGTGCCGCCGTTTTGAATCTATAATAAATTATTACGCTACTACAAAACGCCCAATTTTGTAATCAATAGTTGATAGTTCAAAAGATATTGCAGAAAGAAAACTGTCGATGTGCTTGAGTGTAGTTAAATATCTTGAAGATATTCAGCCAGTGCACAAAAGTTCATTAAAATTGACATTAGTTTAAAGCGACATTACTCATACAAGTTTGATATTCTTTAGAGTTTACAGGCTTCATTAAACCATATGGACGTTTGTGCAAGTGCAATTTTATTTTATAAATTATTATTACTATTATATAAATATTAGATCTCAAACGAAATAGCTTTTTGCAATTATGGAAATCTGATACAACGAAGGCGTACAATCAACTGTGTATCAGGATAAACAAAACTTTTAAAATGTCTCCACTTGAGTTTAGACTTTATTGCATTAACGATAGTGCTTAAAATGAACTGGGGGAAATTTGACATATTGTAGTAACCTGACACGCAGCCATGTGTACGACATCTGAGACGACAATATTATAATAGTTCTTTTTCTATGTTGGCCCGCCGGGGGATCGAACCCAGAATCTCAAAGATGGCACCATGAAACCAGCGTGCGAGCCACTGGGCCACGGAAGTTGTCAAGGTTGTAGATTTAAAGAAGGGAAATGTCGTAATTTGTTCATCCCTACTTTTTACAGCTTTACTTCAAGGGACCATACACATCATTTGTAGTCAAACTTGGAAGAAAACAATGGCATTACTTCATCACTCCATCACCGTTTCCGGAATGGTTTTACGAGGAACACCCAGATGTGACGATTGATGGAAAGGAAACTTATATTAATGTTCCTGATATTTTACATACTGAATTTTATAAAGTATTGCTGGATAATGTGCATGTGTTCTTGGGATTTCCTATTTAGAACGTAATAAAATATGTTGAACATTATCTTTTTAATTATTTATTTCTACTCCTTGAATATCATTTACACTGGTAGATGGGGTCCGTATGCGGTGTGAAAGTGAGAAGAGAACAGAAATCGCCCGCACTGGATAGCAATAAATCTTCTAAATTCTTGTTTTTTTTTGACGATAACCGGCTATCTACGTTAATTGACTTTGATAATCGTCAATACTATCAATAAACTTATTTTGAATGGTTCGTCTTAGTGGACCACTACCGTGGCCTTAGATCAATATTATTGCTGCGGATGATTGAATATAATAGTTGTGTAATAATAAACATCAGATTATATTGTGAAACTATGAAGGAGTATGTGTATTTGAGCAAGTATGAAGTGCTGCTTCGGTAGGAAAGGAATCGGCTGGTTACTATTGCTTTTGTATCAATTAGAAATCGTATAAGTAACACTCATAGATTACCAGTAGTATATCTATGGTAACAGTACTGTATGCAGTATGCAGTTCTTTAACGTACTGATTGGCATCTTTTGTTTCTTAATTTCACTTTATCTATGATTCTTTATGTGTTTAAAGTTAAGAGGGGTAATTATTGTTTTGACGATGTAAATGATGCTCTAGACAATGTTCTCCAGTGGTTTGATAATAATAATTTAAAGCTCAATTTAAATTAAACTCTTAGACTGATTAGTTTTAACTCAAGAGTCTAATTTTCTTAATAGCAAAAGCTGCAGAACTCAGTCTACTTGACAAGTTATTAATATGAGGATCCTATTGCAGTTGGGAATCTAGTGTTATACCAAGAAACTTTGTCGATTCTACCAACTCAACATTTTCACTTTTTACATTTATAAGTGTAATAACATGCCTTACATTAGATGATGCAAACTTTATGCATTTCATTGTATTTGAATTGAGCTTTAATTTGTTTCAAAAGTTATTGAAACAAGTTTACTAGAATAAAGACATTTTTCATTTCATTCACACATAACTTATTAAGAGTGAGTAAGGTCGAGTGAACTTACCCCGTGAGGTGCTTAATAAATGAGTACGTTCCCTGAATCAATAGTTAGTATATTGAGTATGTACAGACTTTTTAACTTTTCATTATAGGCAACTCACTATCCTTTTCAGTGTACTGTGTTGTCTGTGCTGGCCTTTCATGCTCGAAGCCTAATAAAATTAGGAGCAAAATGAGGTAGTTCAAAGTTGTAAAACGAATATTCCCTCATATGGTCGCGATTGAGAGGGCTCGTCGGTATCTCACAGCACCTCACGCATAGATAATACATAATACCATACGAGTGAGGGGTCATCGCTACTTCACTTGACAGGTGGATGACAATTAATGCTTTACTCTTTGGATGATTCATTTGTTGTTGGTTGACCAGTTGACGGTGTAAATTGTTTTCGCGAAATTGTTGTTTTGTCACTCGAACAAAAGCTTACAAATTTCGTCTAATGCTGATGTGTAAAGTTGATTAAAATGTCTTTCGTAAAGTTCGAAAACGTGGGAGCATTTGTAAGAGACTGCAACGGTACCACACTTCAATATGACAAAGCGTGTTTGGAAATAGGAACAAACGAAACAATAAGTTTTTGGAGTCAATATGAAGAATGTGAGGGCTGCGTACTGTTGGAGACGAAGAGATTGTCATCCACAGGGGCCATCGTTCTCAGTACTTTGAGTCCAGTGCGTTACGCCATAAGAAATGGCAATGGGCAAATTTGCAATGGTTAGTAACATATTCTGTTCTTTCTTACTCATATGTATTATGTTACAAATGACATTCACGTGCATTATCATCCTCTCTAATGTGATAATAAAGCCTACATACTTATAGATACTCTATTTGTAAAAAAATATATTAACAATAACTTAAAATGAAACCTATCTGTTCTGATGAAATCATTATTTAAAAGTAAAGCATGATTTGTCTCTTATTGATAGAAAAAAAATCTCTTAATACAATAACATTAAGGTTTCTTTACTCATTTGTACGTATTCTAACAAAAAGAAAGTATACATTGTAATAAAAAAAATATATGTAATTAAAAGTCAAGCTATTCTGTAAAGAAAAATGTTTGCTAATCGACTTCAAAATTTACACAAACTGTATGAGGAAAAAAATATTCTTATACTTTTTCCCTTAAATTGCAATGTTATACTGACATCCCACTAAAATATTAAGTGTGCAGATGTTGTAATGATGCTGGATGTAATTTTATGTACCTTATTTTTATTATCAAAGTCTAACTTAGGGTTAAACTTTGAACATTTTTCAATTATATAGATCATTAAATAAAAACAAAATACAGAATGTCAGTTATCAATTATCAACAAATTTGACATTTATTAGAGCTTAAAGGTGTCATAAAACCTTAATGGATGTTTGTGTAACTGACCATCAGTCTTATATATAGCTGATGCTTTTTTTTAATGATTCTCCTGTATGTATTCTCTCTAGTGCCTCCATTTTTTTTAAGAGAAATAACATTTTTTTACTTTTTTGGTTCCAATATTGTACAAAATTATTAGAGTTGTGTTGGATAACACAAAAAAGTTCAACTTGCATGTCTAAACATCACTGGCATAATGAGGCTACTGGAGGACAATCGAGTGCGTGTCCAACTTGCGAGTGCACCTCTCCTGTGCTACCCAATGCAACTGAATAATCGTGACCTCAGAGCGAGCTTTTATAAGCAGGGTTATACTGTATTGAATTTTTTCAATTGTATATTCACAATGAAAACTGCTTAACAAATCCACTTATCGTACTACTACATTATAATAATTTAAAAAATATAAAATTTTGATAACCACCAATATTTCCTCAATCACTTACACAATATTATGTTTAGCAACACTGCTGCATGGTGACCTGTTACACAATTTTAATTCTAGATAGCTTGTCTTTAAGTACACATTAAATATTAATTGAAATGAAATTAAAATGTTCTTGTTCAAGCACTTTTGAATCATCCAAAAAAATATTATTTAGCCCTACCACTCGTTCAGAACGTCAGAAGAACAAGTGAAAAATCTTACCAGCTCTTTATCATATCAGTTACATAGGAATTTTAAAGTTACACAGTAATTGATAATCCTAGATTGTATTTGAAGAAAAATGTTCAACTTTAATGTTATTAACCTCTATTGGTAATAAAGGTAGGAAACCAAAAAATTTGCCAACTTGATGTTGTCAACTTTTCTTCTATGGAAATATAATATAAGAACTGTTTTGATTTTAGTTATCTTTAAATCAGATTTCAATGATACATTTTGATTATATCATGATTTTTTTTAAATACTTAAGTCTATTGGCAAATTAATGTTATAGTAGCATTAGATGTACCTCTTAATTTTTAACAAATAAATATATGTAAAATAGTAATATTGAAGAAATATAAAAAAATACTTTATACACATTTATTTAGTACGAGGGTGGTCTGAAAAGTTTCTGACCTAACAAAGATACGAGACATTTTTTTCTAAACTTTTTATTTTATTTTTCAACATAGTCTCCATGTAACTCTATACACTTCTCCCAGCGATGATCCCATTTCTGTAACCCGTCCAAATAGAACTCGGCATTTTTCTCTGCAAAATAATTGTTCACGAAGGTTGCCTCTTCATTTGACGAAAATCTTTGTCCTCTGAGTGCAATTTTTAGATGAAGGAACAAAAAGAAGTCGCTTGGGGCTACATCTGGTGAGTAAGGCGGATGGTCAAGCAGTTCAAACCGTAATTCGTGGATTTTCGCTATGGCAACCGCTGAGATGTGAGACGGTGCGTTGTCTTAGTGAAACAAGATCTTCTTTTTCTGCAAATGTGGCCGTTTTTTCGCAAGTTCTGCCTTCAGCTTGTCAAGTAATGACGCATAGTACTCTCCTGTCCTGATAATCGATTAAAATAACTCCATGACTATCCCAAAAACAGTCGCCATCACTTTCCCAGCCGAAAAAACAGATTTTTTTGGAGCCAGTTCCCCCTTTTTGCAGTCCACTGTTTGGACTGTATTTTTGATTCGGGCGTGTAATGGTGTATCCAAGTTTCATCTACAGTAATAAATCTGCGCCAAAACTCGAATTTATTTCACCTAAAATGCGCCAAAAGATCGTTGGAAATGTTCATTCGAACACGTTTTTGGTCTAACGTGAGCAAACGCGGCACCCAACGCGCGGAAAGCTTTCTCATATGTAAATGTTCATTTAATATGTGACAAAAACGTTCTTTTGACATGTTCATAACCTGTGCTATCTCTCGCACTTTGATTTGGCGGTCGTCTAGCACAATTTGGTGAACTTTGGCGATGTTTTCGTCGGTAGTTGCAGTTTTTGGACGTCCCGAACGTTCATCGTCTCCCAAGCTCGTTTAAATTCAGCAGCCCAAAATTTCACTGTGATAAATGATGGTGCAGAGTCCCCATACACAGAATCCAACTCATCTTTTATTTGCCATTGCCTTTCAAAAACAAATATCTAATGACAGCACCATACTCGATTTTGTCCATTTTTAGAAAAAACTCACATCAACTCACGCGTCCAAAATGGCTGAAACTTTGGTGAGTAACTGTCAACAGATAAACAAACGAAATTCAGTAGCTTTTATTTACGAGTGCTGCCATCACTAGGTTAAGGTCGTAAACTTTTCAGACCACCCTCGTAATTGACTTAATCTGGTTCAGTTAATACAAATGTGTTTATAATATTTGATTAATTTCGCATTTACAGTACTATACTGAAATCCATTAATAATTAAAATTATTTAAAGAATATCTGTTGATTTGATTAGAGTCATAGATTTACTGACATCAGTTTTTTTTCTTAGGAACGTATCAATTCGGAGAATTTGGTCAGTATAGCATCAATTTGTCAGAAGTGGTGAAAGATGAATGTCTCCCTCGCATGACTGCGGAACCTGACGCTGCCGCTCTGCCAATACTAACTGCTGTGGTCACACTATTGTCTATGGCTACGCTATGGTATATTATCAAAGGTATCGGCAAAAGGATCATAGCAGGAAGGTGGTACGCTAGATATTTAGCAAGGTGAGACTGGATTGATTTACAAAAACAGTCATATCCACACTCATACCTATAGTCACTCCCACAATTAACTCACACTCACTCCCACCCATACCCATACTCATTCCTACTTATACACATACTCACATCCAATGTCATACCAACACTCATACCAAATTCTACATGTCAAAACCCTTCGTTGCACACTCTCGTATAGTCCGGGCCTTGGTGTCTGGCAAGCGATACCCGGGAACTCAGACCCGACGCATACACAGACCTAGTCTAAGGTTCAATTCTCAGAGTTATCCCAAAATTTACACCTGGGTATTATTATTAATTAACTAATATTTATGTTATCATTCTTTATTTGACCTTCTGTTATAAGGGTTAAGAGTACGAATGCCTGCAATTTCACTTTAATTCGAGACAAATTGTGAGAGAGTTTTTCTTTTTGATTTTTTTTTGTCATTATTTAATAAAAAAAATATTTGTAGAGAGGACAACGAGCTCGGTTCTGAAACTCGTGTGTTGACTGCGGAGGCTAGCGTTCATCGTTCGCCGACCCGCTCGAGACTCCGTTCTTTAGACATCTTCAGGGGAATTGCTATAGCTCTAATGGTAAATATCCACTATTACTACCACGACACTAATTGCTTCTAAATGCGTGGCTTTGTATAATTTTCTCTTTAGAGAAATAATAAGTTCAGCAATTTTTAAGGATAAAATATATAGAAATATTATTTAAGGTACTAGGCGTTTGTAGCGACGGTTGGTATTTAAAAAAAAATATAAAAAATCGTAATGATTTGTAAATAATTAAATGTGTTGACAGACGTATCAACACTATTTTTTTTTTTCATTAGAACCAGAGAAAATATTTTGAACTCATTTTTCTTCAATTAGTACTCTTAGGTATATGACGTAGTTTACGTAGTTGAATGTTAGGAACCAATCCGATTTGATACATACTTCATAAATACTACAATGCAAATTTTATTGTAAGAGCAATAAAGATTTCGTTAAGTAGCAATTTAAATATAATCTAAATTATTGATCTTGGTTAAATAATAAGCTCGTTGTTAAGTATTTGAATCACTTAAACAATGGGTGGCTTTTGTGGTTTGAACGCCCTCTTAAAAATAAATGCTAATCAATTAGAATGAAAAGTGCCTAAGAAGTCGAAAGAAAAGAATTAAATAATAGGAATAATGTTTAGGTAAAAAAACAGAAAATCTATTTAGTCCGTCAGGCAGATAATAGAAAAATATTATATGTAACATTTAACAACGTCATGTAACATTTTAACTGAAATTTTAACGCCGTTATTTAATTATTACGCAAAAAATGATTATTTAATATTTTTCAACGATCTACCTGAGAGGCAAACAAAATTTTATGAGAATGCTAGCTGTTTTCCGTGACTTTGCATGCTTAATGCATATAATGTAGCTTCTCGTAGGAGATGAAAGAACAAATCTTTCCTCTAAGATATAGTCATCGCACAATATGCGACTAATGCTTAGAATTCTTCACCTGTCATTCCTTTGCAAGATATAAATAAATTTTAGCTCCTTATATAGTATGCTATGTCTCCAGATATTCGTGAACGCCGGCGGCGGTGGTTACGCGATATTCTCTCACAGCGTCTGGAACGGACTCACTGTGGCTGATGTTGTGTTCCCATGGTTTGCATTCGCGATGGGCGAAGCTCTAGTCTTGTCTCTTAATGCTAGATTGAGGACTTCAATGTCCAGGACTACGGCACTCTATCAGGTATGGAGTATATTTAATATCTATTTTGTTGCACAGGGTAAAATTTTTAATAGTTTAATATCGTTACTATAACGTATTTACAAAAACATTTGAACTATTATTGAGTCAGGACTTGGTGAGTGGACGAGTTGAGTACACCAAACAAGTTTTACTATACAAGCAACACTGAATAGGCTTATGTCCTACAAGTGAATATATAGGTTTTTGTTATATGTTCGGAAAATATGAACCATTTAACTTATAAATATTTAACAAAATATATTTTATGGCACTAATTTGGAAAATATTGCGCTTTGAAACCTTGTAAAAAGTAGGGAAAATATACTACGAAAATTTGCTACAATACCTAAGACATTAAATTAGTTATATAAAACGTTACAACTTTCATTATAGTAGCTATAAACAAACGCAAAAAAAAAACAAAGATATTACAAAGATTGCCCAGATGCGCATACGTTTTTCGCTACCGTAGCACCGTGTGACGTCACTTAGTGCATTGAATTTGTAGGGAGCGTTTTCGGTCGACAAGCAGCAGTTTCACAAATATCGCAGATACAAGATTTATCGCAGACTCGTACATTATTTTTCAGATATTAATGTTCTAATTACTTATAAAATAAAAAAGTAGTCAACTAGCCTATTCGCGAAAAAATAATCATCTGTTTCATAAAAAAGTTATAATACTTACCATCGAACAGCACGAAACAGCTGATTATTTTTTCGCGAATTCAGTGTTGCTCTCATAGTAAAAGTTGTTCAGTATACTTAATTCGTCCACTCCACGAAGTCCTGGTACATAATAATCTTCAAAACAGGATCCCCCTGGTAACAAATTACGACTTTACACCATCACACAATACTATTCACAACGTTTTTAGAAAATATTTATTTTGTTTGTGGTAATCTAGCACTGCTTGAAATGAATTTAAAAATTGTTTGTTATGAAAAACTATTCTTTTTATTAAACTGAAATGTGCGATACTTTAATAGATATCAGTCATTTAGAATTTTTGTGCTCGTAAAGTTTTTAATTTGATAAAAAAAATACCTCAGAAAGGGCTTAGTAAAAATAGTAAAAAAGAAAAATTATAGTGGGGTAAAGGTTTTGTGTTAGTAATTTGATATTAACTCTTTTTATGTCTTTAAAATGTGAGAGATTATTTTGTTTTCTCCTGAACCTTTATTGTTGTACTAGTCTTGTTTCCTAATTAAAAAACTAACTTGTTCGAAAGTTCGAATTTAAATAATTGTGATCCTCGTCCAATTTGCGAAAAATACAAACATAAAGTTCCAAAATTATTACATTGGATTAAATAAATGCTCTCTTTTTAGAAGTCTAGAAGTTTAAAATTAATTGGTATTAATGTAAAAGGCTGTTGGATTCCAGGTGGCCCGTCGTTCGTTTTTTATGGCACTGATAGGTATAGTTCTGTCCTCTGTGAACGTGTCGTGGAATAACGTCCGCCTGCCTGGCGTGTTGCAACGTCTCGCTGCCATGTACCTGATAGTGGGCGCGCTGGAATGTGCCTTCATGACCACCAGCCAGAATATAACACCCGGTGAGTACACTAGTCTTATTCTTATATAATGATAATTTTGGCCCAACAACACTGGCGCCTTAAATCCGGCTCTGTGAACCCCGTAAAAGATTCCAGTTGACAACGAACCCTTTGAACTAACTAATAAAATCAACCCTTTCAAGAAGATAAAAAGAGGTAACAAATGCATTGCCATAATAAATATTCATTTAATATTATTGTGATGCTTGGATTTTTGGAAATAATTTTGACCTTCATCGTCAAGTCATCGAGCCACCATTATGCATATTTTATCGCGAACCCCCTTCTGTCAAATGTCGAACCACTAGGGGTTCGCGTGCCCCACTTTGAGAAGCCCTGGGCCTCAAAGGTCCACTAAAATTATTAATAGTTTTAAGTGACATTCGGTCAGTTAAAGAAACGTCCATTAAGGTTTAATAACAACTTTAGGTTATGACGAATGTTCTAAATTTGAAAATTTTTATAGATGTTAAAACGACTCTAGACGAATGATTCAAAAATAGAACTCCTGACGAGTTGAACCCGTCCGACAGTCTTTAATACCCAACAATCCGTATAGGGCTAGTGTGGAGGGTCGTGGCCCATCCTCCTTAACCAATAAGAAAGACCTGAGCCCCTGCAGTGGAGAGGTAAAAGGGCTGCACATCTTTGTAACTCTGTTTTATATTTATTTCTTTATCGTTGTCAGGGCCATCCCTTATAAGAGATCTTACGACTGGGTGTAAGCAATGGCTCGTCACTTTCGTATTGGTGGTGATTCAGGTAAGACAAGATTTAACTTGGAAATCATATTCAATAAAATCCAGCAGTTTATTGAATTTGTTAACCATACTTTTTAAGTGGACTTAAGTTTTTTACGAAAACAATCCCAAAGGATAACACGGTACCTTTTTATAAAAAGGCTCATATCTCATAAACTGTGATAGTAAGACATTTAAAACTTTTCACGGACGATTTATTTCTGTTAAGTTAAGTAAAATTAGTATCACATAGTTTTCCGTCCGTCCGTGCGTCGGTCTAGACTCTTTTTCTCAGAAATACGTAGAGGTATCAAGCTAAAATTTATATCAAATACTCAGGTCTTGATTTTCGAAACTCCCAAGGGAATCAAAACGTACAGGGTACTCGGAATATTAAAATTTAGCACATAGTGACTTGTTATAGTATAGATAAAAGAAAAATTATGAGAACCGTAAATTTTTAGTTACATCATTTAATAAAAATTTTCTTAATAATTTTAAAGTTACTACTTATATACCTACAGGTTTAGAAACCCTCGGTGGGCGAGTCCGACTCGCAGCACTTGGTCGGTTTCCTACTGTTTGGTTTAATATGTACAGGTGTCTATAACGTTACTCGTGAGTGCCCCGGGTTGTCCGCGGGGGTATGTGGGCCCGGGTGGCCTGCACATGTCAGCCGACGGATATGATCTGCAGAACTGTACTGGTGGCATCGCAGGATATATAGACAGGTATAATATAGGACAACAATAAGAATAATCTTTATTGCACACTACAAAGAACACAATAACTATCACGTAACAATATAATTTGAAATTCACACACACACACATATAAATGATCATCATCCTAGCCAGGTCAGGCCATGTGGTCAAACTCATTAGAAGGTACTGAAACTATGGTGAAAATTGGTAAGTTTTTTCAATACAGGCTAATATAGCTGCATACCCTACCACAAATCTCTATGCTCGCCCCTGCACACATATACGAGAGAGATAGGAAGAAACTCACACAATCGCACAAAAAAACGGAAGAACAAAAAGGTACAATTAAACAAAACAACACAGTTTTCAAAGAGCCACTGCAAGATTTCGTTTCAATTTTGTTCAAACACATACACATACACACACCCACACACACACACACACACACACACACACACACACACACACGCACGCACGCACGCACGCACGCACGCACGTATCTACACACACGCACACGCAAGCACGCGCGCGTGCACACAACTCTCATAGTTATCTCTATAATGGCCTCGGGAAACTAAGAATCCATATGAGCCGGGAGAACAAAAAGGTACAATTAAAAAAACAAACACCGTGTACAAATAACATGTCGTGACTTTTCTTCGGCATCACAACGCGTTGAGGTCGAATAGTAATGTCAGTTACGACATGGATTTCGCTATGTGGTCTTTTTTATAATTTTAACAATGCTTCGTGAGCGTTTTCATTAGAGCCATAACATGAATTTCGCCATTTGAATGCACGGTTTCTTTTTTGCACAGACTCATCCTTGGTCCGTCTCACCTGTACAAGGGCGGTACTTTCCGTCACCTGTACCGCACCTCTGTACCACACGATCCTGAGGGAATACTGGGCATATTCTCGGGCGTACTAGTTGTACAAGCTGGTGCGCATGCGTCCAGGATAATGCTCGCTTACAATCATGCTAGGTGAGTCAATGCTAAATGCTTAAGGCTCTCTTGTATCTCCCCTCAGGTTCTCATACAATACGCATCGAGAGTAAAGAAACAAATGTCGAAAACACTCGAAAACAAATGTAGTTATAGAAAAAAATCTTTTCATCATTTTAGTATCAAAACCTATTTCTGTGTATATTTTTTATATAGTTAAGATGAAATATACTGATTGTAAAATCGTTCTATTTAGCGCCATCGGTGCGTTTTTTTTTATTGCGCCAATTATTGAAATGCTTGTACCTGTTTTTGAAAATAATCGACCATATGTTTAGTTTTCATAAAGTAATTTTCATTTGGTTTAAAAAGTGGTTATTTCGTAAAACCTCGCCTCATATTGTCTCTGCAAAGAGTCATGTCGATAGATACAACAAAAGTCGTCATTGTACGGTCCGAATTACATAGACGCGTTAATAATTATTTTAGTCAAAATCGGTCATTTTTTTAAACAACCGTTTCTGTCCGTCTTGAAATATTAAAAAATTGCGCGAACTAAAATAGCAAGCTCAAATATCGTAACGCATAGTAATAATAATAATCAGAACACATATTTATCTTAAACGAAAGTTTAAAATATTTTTACACATAGTCTAAAATATTTATTTCGGCTGTTTGAGTGGATTGCCTGAACATTAATCAAAATACGCTCACTAGAAGCCTAACTCACGAGAGTTAGGCGATAATTCGTTTAAAATTATTATACTTTTTTTAAATATACTTTCAAAACGATGATGATGTAAAAATAGTAAAATGAGACGGAATATCCCCTTAATCGCTAAGATATCGTGTCCTATAGCTAGAGAGTCGGTCGCACCCATGTTGGGTCTTAGGTAGCTCAATGGTTAGAGCAGTCGCCCGGATCGCAAAAGGTGGAGGTTCGATTCTGGAGCGTACCTGGAGCATTTTCCATCAAAGACAGATGTAATAATAGTTTTTTTATGTGCAGAGCGCGTATAATGCGTTGGGTGTTCTGGTCCATAATTTTCGGCGTGTGCGGAGGCGGCATGTGTATGTTCACGAAGAATGGATTTGCCATACCCGTAAATAAGAACCTCTGGTCGCTCTCCTACTGTCTCGTCACGTCGTCTATGGCGTTATTCATGAAGGCCTTACTTTACTTCATTGTTGATCTGAAGAGTAAATGGGGAGGACGTCCCTTGTACTATGCGGGTAAGTTTAAATAATAATTGTCTTCGTCCGCGTAAAATGGCTGCTTGGCTGTTTTATGTAAAGTATTTTAAACTTAAAATTTATTTTTAACACTAAACACAAAATTAATGGAAAAACACATTATTATTCGTTAATATCAATTGTCCCGCGAAAACAATCAGTCACGTGATATCACGAACGTGACGTCACATTTCAATAAACATGAGTACTGGTCACACTCGTAACAAACATTTTTGACGTTTAGTTTATTGAAATGTGACGCCTAACGATGTCCCGTCAGGGCTGCCCGCGTTTCGGTTCTTTGAATCCACAGATTATAAATTAAAAATCAACTGTACGTACGATTTATTTTAAAACGAAAATCCTACATAGTTATGTTTATTATAAATTATGCTCCTATCTTATGTAGTTAATACTGATCCGTTCTTGAAATAATTTTCAAGAACGGATCAGTATTGCTTTCTCCCTACAAGCAGACAAAGTTAGAAACTATCTGTATAATATTAGTATAAAATTTAATTAATAATGTATACAGGAAATATTCGTAGTCAGTGCGCAATATGTTCGTTAGAGTAAATTATATATACAATCTTTTTCCCCTAACATAGGATATGAAAAAATATTGCTTATGACCGTACTGTACCGGGAGGTTAATGACCTATTTTTGTCAGTATACTCACAGTTTGTTTGCAAATATTAAAATTAATATGTACTATAAACAATAAGTTTTAAACATTAAGTTACTACGCCTTTTTTGGGTAAATATGTTCTACTAACGAGACTGAAGAAAAAAATATCCTTTTTTTAAAAACCTGTGGAATCGAAATCGAACTCGAGAGCTTAGAGATGGCCTTGATACCGGCTGTCGAGCCAATCGACCACGGAGGTCTTCATAAAGCTAAGTTAAGCCATTACAGCTAGTCTAGCATTTGCGTTCTTATTGACACTCGATACGCAATCTAGTGTTACTGTTATGTTCACATTTCAGCGATTCCTTCATTCATATTTGTGCCATAAATATTCTAACATGTTAACTATTTATAACTATTGTTGTATTTTAATAGTTTGTTTTTCATGAGGCGAAAAATGTATAATTTTATCATAAGTTGTAGTGTGTAATAAAAAATCAGAAGTACGTATCCTTTAAATAATAAATTGCCAATTTAATTTTGAATTTACAGTCGCGAAGATAAAGGTCATATTATTCGAGTATTTAGGGCAGAAGCCCCGGTTTTGGCCACTGCCCCTGTTTTGGCCGTTTGGCACTTCGAGGCGTTCTAACTAACGCATAGGCAAATATATTACTATACCGTGAACGCTTTTAAAATGGTGGATTATGCCAAAATTAATACTGTTGTAATGTGTTAAAGTTGACTTAAAATGGCCAAAACTAGGTTATAATCTTAAAATGCGCAAAACCGGTTATTAAATATTAAATCAAATATATAAATAAAATATTACTAAATCAAATATTTACTTTGTAGGTCAAAACGCCCTCTTCTTATACATCGGCAGTGAGCTTCTAAAGAAACATTTTCCGCTGTTATGGTATATTTCTGCACCGACTCATGCGCAGTTATTGGCAACACACGCCGCCGCTATGTTGATTTGGCTGGCGGTGGGCGTGGCTCTATATAAGAAACGAATCTTTATCACCTTGTAATAGGGACACTTTATCTTTTGTCAAATCGTATGAATTACAAGAGAATGCTAATATATATAATATTGTAAAGTTATAACAATTATTTTTCTAGTATATAAGGAAGATTACGTTATACAATGATGAAGCTAAAATATAACATATTAAAGTCTGTATTTACTTTTTTTCTTCTACGTAGGTAAAACTTGTCGATGCTACTTATTACTTTGGTTATTTAAAACTATGAAAGAAAGTGTGATAAGACTTTATATATTAGAAAATAATTGGGTTATAATAAAATGTATTTTTTACTTGAATTAGAAGAATTCAAAGTAATTTTGTATTGTTTGGAATTGTATAATTATGTACTTTATTGCATTGTAATAAGGCTTTTGTTTATAATGGAATGCTGTGATCGAAGTCTGTTTGATAGATTTATATATGATAGTTAAACTGAATTTTGTTGTTTTTAACTGACATTGTATTCAAACCAGGGTTCGCTGCTAAATATCAACATATATATATATATCATGATATGCCTAATGATATGATGATATGCATCATGATTAATATATACATAATGATATTATATATATATCAATTGATATTTATAATATTTATGTTAGTTTGAGTATTGAATCTCAGCTAGAAAATTAACCAACCCAATGTGACACTGGCAACATTGGCCTGAACTCTTCCCGAAGCAATCTTAGTTACTAGAAATTTTGGGATTTCCCCGTAACATTATTTTTTTATTTTCTCTTGTGCTTAAATGCTTATGTTCTTAAATATTAAATAAAGCCACTAACAGCTCAAAAATCTCAGTTTTTCATATGCATAATATATATCGGATAAATAATAAATATCGTATATTTATTATAAATATCGGATTTTTGCGGACCCTGATTCAAAATGACTGAAATTAGAATCGGAAGGTCAAATGTTCATTTGAAAAGTCAGTGCAAATTAATCTTTTTGTATTTAATTTCAAATAGGTTCATTTACAGTATTTTTTTTTTGGGAAGTCGTCTTACATAATTGCTCGTATTGCATCGATTGTCTGAGTTCGTTATAGTGTCGTGAACATTGTAATATCGATTTTTAATATTATCGATATCAGGAATATTTTGCAACACTATTATTAGAATTCAGCTTTTTATGAAATAAATTGTCATTTACTCTATTTAATGTTTCGTAACAATATTTCAATAAATCTTGTAGTTTTGTAAGTAATAACTATCCTTTAATACGACCGATTTGGCTTGGGAGCAAAAATGTGTATTATGTAAAAAAACTGAATATTTATGGAATATAATATGGAACTGGTTTTTGAATTTAATGTGTATTCTACAACTGTAGAATATTGCTCTGGATAAATCTAAATAGACTTAAACATATAGTCAAACATTTAATTTATTTAACAATAGATTTATAGTTTTGTGTTATTAACAACTTACATAAAGATAATAATCATATACCTAGTTACATAAACGTCTGTTAAAATTATAATTAATTTACTAATTTACAACATTTATTCGAACTTAAAGTCCTGTTTAAACCTTAATGGATGTTTGTACAACTAGATGTTAGCGTTGTAAGAGCGTTAAAATTCGCAGTTGTAAAAGTAAGGGATTTACTATGGATATCTGGAATATGTCAGAGAATCAAAACATTCAGCCAGCTTCTTATTGACATTGAAAATTTTGACAACCAGACTTGCTTTAAACTTAACGCTCATTGTGTTAAGGTTTAAAATCGAAATGGCGTTAAGTCAAGCGACTAACCTATTTGTAAAAGATATAAGGGCAATTTAAATATTATATTTTGAAGTGATTTTTTTTTTTTTGTTTTTAGTAACCACCAGAAACTCTTTTTTCGAACATATATTTAAAGTAAATCCCGGTAACTTTCATTTATTATTGTTTATGTTTTATCCATAAGCTATTAGTTAGGTGAGTCTTTGGGTTTTTTGTATTTTTTTTTATTATTTATAAAATAACACATTCACACTTTGTAGGGTTGTTCACAAAAACTTTTGGATAAAAAAGAATATAGCATATAACAATTTAAAGAATTATTAACACTGCAAAATAAATTCTAAATTTATTCCTAAAACTCATAAATGCTTATAATTTCTTGATTTAATGTATAAAAACACTGGCTGTGTATTTTAAATATTTCCAATATATCGTTTCTTTATAACTTGGCTTAACATAAGAGGTTCACGTCCAATGTGGCTTTTATGTTGCTCCTGAATGGGCTATTTACGATAATTCTTTTGCAAAAGAATTTTGATATATAAAGAATTTAAAAAAAAAACGCAATTCTGTTAACCTCATAACACATTCAGTATAATGTTAATATTTTTGAAATATTTATTCACTGTAAATTGCAGAAGAGTGTACTGTTATCAATATTACATCAGAAGTGCTATTCTGTTAACAGTTTTAAAATGATCGTTGAGCGCAGCGCTATCACATAGAAGTTTTTTCAGATAAAACCTACTTTAAAAGGTCATAAACAAAGACTTCTATTAGTATTTTTTCTTTGGACGGGACTATCTCGTTTTGTCTTTGTACCTCCCGGTGTCTCCAAAGGTATTTTCGGGGCGCGCACAATGTCCCGTTTTTGTAAGGATACGAAAATTTTGCCGGACACACCGTCAGTTGCCCGCGAAGGGAGGAAGAAACATAACTCCTCGTTTAATCTCAAGTAAGCTATATTTACAGAAGGTCACATTGTCAACCAACTCCCACACCCCGGTTTTTCTTAAAAAAACTATGTCTTGTTTTGATTCAAGGAAAAATTAATCGAATATATTTAGCGGGGTCACGCTAAATATATAGCATAGAAGTTGGTCATAAAGTTTTTATTTCATCGAATCTCTATGACATAACAGCGCTGCCTTTGACGATGAGTTTATGGCTGTTTTTTTAATAGAATAGCTGATTTGTATTAGTAGATGAATAGAACCTGTATATTTGTAGTATTAGGTAATGTATGTAGTCGAATATAGACGAAATTTATTTTTTCAATAAAATGTTTATATCCCTATTAATGGTTGTTATTGTATTATTAGATAATACAGCAAAGTAACTAGCCTGGAGAACAAAACATGTTCCGAGAAAAGAGCGGCGATGTAAAAAATATTAAATTGACCACATACTGAAAAACTATTTTTATTTGATATTTTAGAACCTAGTTTCAAATTTAAAAATAAGAGTTTTTGTAATAGCAGATTTTTTTTAGTTTTCAATAGTTTTTTTAATGAAGACAACCATAGCTTGGAATCTTATGGCGCTTTTTTTCTTGTCTCATTTCACTTGCCGACAGAACGGGCAAAGTTCAAAATTAAAAAAGTGAATGACATTTACGAATTTATCGTCTCTTTCTTATTTGTCGAGTAACGCCTGTTCTAGTATTATCAGGTGTAGAATATTTAGAAACAGATTTTGACTATGAATCAGACTAAAGTATTTTTAGTCTGATTCATAGTCAAAATCTTATCTTAAATTTTCTATTGTGATTAACATGATGATTTTGTGACACCTGTATTATGTAATTTATCCATGGCACTTAATTGTAACAAAAATAAATGTTTTTTTTATTGTAATCTGGTGTTTATATTGACTAATTTAATTTGATAGATAGTGGTTCTGGATCAGAGCAAAAGGTTGTGATGAAAATCCCTTAGGAGACATGTATGTGTTATGAACACATTATAAATATAAGGGCCAGAAATCAAAATTGGCTAACATCACATTTATTAAAAAAATGTGGCCAGAGTCGCCCATATTCATTACAAAAAAACAAAGAAGTCGTTGCAAAAAACACCCTTTTAATTAATGACAAATATGAATTTTTAATATTATAAGTGCTGTTAGCCAATAGGTATAACGAATGGGTTAAAAAAAAGATTCGATTTAGTCCGTCAGTCAGATAATAGAAAAATATTGGATACGTATTTTTTTTCGCTTTAATTTAACAACAAATGGCTTAAGAGGTACTATGCGACGACTTCAAATATGCTTTGCAACAATGTTACTTTAATACAGTTTATCGATACGAAATCAAGTGTCAAAATGGAGTCCAGTGGAGAATGCCGATATTGACATTTCGAAATTGCTCATCATTGATAGAGAATACGAAATTTTGACACAATCAAAGTGTCTATTTTTTACGGTGATGACGATTCTTGGTTGTCAGTTGAGTTAGTGAATAGGCCTACTGATATGCTGTTAACTGTACAATTAAGAACAGTCACGCTTTAGTCAAATGTTCCAAAACAAATAATTTTAATTGATATCTAAATGTTAAGATTAAATATAATTAATAAAAGTATCAAAATTATTTTGCAGTACTACATTCAGTGTTTACTGCTTAAGAATTTTTGAAATTGCCGCCCTTTTCTTGTGACACGTTTCGCTTGCCAGACTCTAGCTTATTCAATAATTATAGGTTTGCGTCGAGCAGTCGTAGTTACTCAACAAAAGGTTAGACGGGCGAGTTTTTTAATCATCTTATAAGATACCCCATTAAATTTTTTTTACCTACATCCATGTACAAATTTCTTCTAAAACTTCGAATACATGGTGAAGAAATACTACCGAAGTCTGGGCTGCATGTGCTAAACCCCTTTGCCTCAACGAATTTCTTACGTACGTACGTAATATGTATGTAGTGATTTCATTTATTTTGCGTCGTTTCATTAAAATAACTGGATATATCTGTACTGATCTTTCATCTAATAAAATAAATCCTTACCCCTATATCTGTGGTGCATTGAAGATCTCACTCAACTCCCGTGAAGACTTTTATTGAGTGTAGAGCGAAGAAACTAAGTATTACATTCCTTTAAATAAGAACGTTAATGTTTAAAAGAAACAGGGAAAATCTAAAACAAAATATTTCTTTCTCAAGATCATGTCGACTTCCGGTGTTTATTTTAATAAAACCAAGTTTATGTTAAAATCGAGAGATGATCAGCCAGATGACGAAGTTGTCGATACATTTTGTTTGGACGGCAATTATGAAATAAAGTGTGGTTATCCAAACAGTGCAGCTCTCGCCGAAAATGTGGATTACGATGACTTTGAAAGGGCTGTGAATTGTAAAGCTGTGTTTTTTTATGGAAATATCTTATATAAATCTGATGAACCTAAGATATGGGAATATATAGACTTGATGATTGAAACGACGTACAAGACAGAATTATCAGTGCCTGTAGACACCAGTGTGGAAACTAATATAAAATTGGAAGGTGGCACCATTTGCCCTTCCATTCACACTTTATTTTCGTACGACGGTAAATTGTTCACTTTATATGGAAGATACATTTACGGATACGATGCTCCTCATGTGAAATTTTCGTTATGTGATAAACCACAAAAATATTACTCGAGTAGTGATGAGAACGATGATGACGCAGAAAGTGAGGAAGATTACGTAGGAAGTGACGGGAGTTTCGAAAGTTATGATTTCAAAAGAAAGAAGTATGAGAGAGATCCGAATGGTGAATATTATGGTGATTGGAAGCTCAAACCGCCAATAATTAATTCGGAAGAAATAGTTCTGCCTATTGTTGCCAATAATATACGATGTAAAAAACTTGAAGACTATTTGGATGATTATGTATATTCCTTTGCAATTGTTGATGATAAGACGAAAGTGTTACAAGCGTTTGCTTTATATCGTTGATTTAGTAATTGTGTCTACTCTTTTAATCAATAAAGAATTAAAGGAAATCATTTTTTGTTATTAATATTCCTTTATTTCAGCCTTTCTCAAAGTGGGCGATAACGCCCCCTTGTGGGCGCTGCAGGCAGAGGCGTAACTATACCGTTTGAGGCCCGTGGCAAATTCATCGGATATTCATTTTTTTTTTACCTAATTGCGTAATAATAAATGTCAGGAGTAAGGAGTCTCCTGTGACCGGGGGCCCATGGCATTTTCCGACTTGCCACCCTGTAATTACGCCACTGGCTGCAGGCCTAAAGGAAACGGTAAGAGACCGAGAAAAAAATGGGGGCGTTGTGTAGAGACTTGGAGGTGGGTAGTTTGTAATTGCATGAAGCTAGTAGGCCTCTTAGACACCAACTGCATGAGGTCTTTTATGCACGAAAAAAAAAACCGGAAGGGTTGTCGTGGAGAAATTAAGATAGTACCGTAGCGACATCTAGTTTGATTTCGGGAACTATTTCTTTTTATACTACTTCTTTAGTTATAGTAATATTTTAACGTTGAATTAATAATTTTTCTTTTGAGTCCTCTGGCTGTAGTTAACGTAATTTACAATAAATCATCATACGGTAACTTGTTTACTATTTATGGAAGCTTCATTTGTGGATACGATGAAGATGACACAGAAAGTGAGAAGAATGTGGAAGGAAATGGAAATAGTGAATATTATAATAATTAGAAGACCAAACCAGTTATAAATTCAGAGGAAATGGGTGATTCTCGGAAACTTGAACATCCGTCATTATTGTTCTTTAAAAATAATGAATCTTGCTTTACAGATATTTTTTAAAATTTTTAAATCTTTATAGAATCTAATATAGTAGCAGATTCTTGTCGTCAATTTTTTTAAATAATATTTGTAACTTTTGGCTGTTATAGGTTACAGCAAATAATGAAAGATGCTCAAAGTTAAATATATATTGTAGATGAATACAAAAAGGTGATAATTAGAAAAAAAAATTGAACAAAATTACCGAAGACTAGAGTGTATGGATCAGATTCCTTTGAGTAAAATTAAATAAAAAATATATAGATATTGCGTATGCGCGGGTAGTTGTAGATTTTATGTAGTTTAATATCTTTCAGTCATTAAACAATTCCCTGTAAACGTAGTATATTTGTAAGTTCTCTTTAACTCCTGTGGAGTGCTTGTTGAGTATAGAAAGGTCGTAAGTTTATTTATAAGAACCTGTAAAAAATACAGAATACGGAAAATAACTATCTCTATCATGTCGTCTGTATCACGTGTTTGTTATAATAAAATCAAGTTTATTGTAAAATCTCGTGATGATCAGCCAGATGATGAAGTTATCGACACGTTTTGTTTGGACGGCGAATACGAAATAAAATGTGGATATCCAAATCGTGCAGCACTTGAAGAGGGCGTGAATTTATATAGCTTTGAAAGCGCTGTGGATTTGAAAGCTGTGTATATGTATGGAAATATTTTGTATAAATCAGATGAACCTAACATATGGGACTATTTGGATTTGATGATCATGGCAACTTACAAAACGAAATTACCAGTGCCTGTAAATTGTAACGTGGAACACAGTAAAAAAATTGAATGGGGCACCATTTGCCCTACTATTCATACTTTGTTTTCGTACGATGGTAAATTATTCACTTTATATGGAAGATATATTTATGGATACGATGCCCCTTACGTAAGGTTTTTAAAATTGGATAAACTGAAAAAAGATCACGCGAGTAGTGATACACCGAAACAAGGTTCCATGTATAGTGATAAATTGAAAAAAGATCACGGACATAATGATAAACCAAAACAATGTAATGTAGCAGAAAGTAAGAAGGCTGACGCAAAAAGTGAAGAAGTAAAAAAAACTGACGAGGACGCAATTGAAGAATATTATGGCAATTGGAAGATCAACCCACCAATAATGAATTCAGAAGAAATCGTTCTGCCTGTTGTCCCCAATAATATACGATGCAAAGAGCTTGAAAACTTTTTGTGTGATTACATGTATGCTTTTACGATTGTTGATGAGAAGACGAAGGTGTTACATGCTTTTGCTTTATATCGTTGATTCTATATATAATGCACGTCTCCTTCTTTGATTATTAAATAATTAAATTACAGAAATAATCTTTATTATGCCTATATTGTTTTTCTATACCAGTTTAAAAACATGTGGTTCGCGTATGTACCACTTGGGTATAAGTAGAGAGAATGCGGAGGGGCCACAGTTTAATATGGTTGTTAGGGACCACGCTTCCGAGTTTACTACAATAGTAATAAGTAAGATCAATCCAAATGACAGTAAATTAGCTGTAAAGGAGGAGCATCACACCGCTCTTAAAATTTACGTGTGTATTTAAAAAAGCCTACCTACATCCTTAAAAATCCCTGTAAACGTAGTATATTTGCAACTTCTCAATTACAAATCCAATTTATGTAATTTATCTTGATTTCATTATTAGGGACTTTGTTTGTCCGTCCGTCTGTCACAGACACGTATTTCGAAACTATTGGACTAAGTTAAAATTTGGTACACCTATTTAAAGGTTTTTAATGTCGGTGTGTGAAAATTGGAACATTTGTGAAGGGTTAAATTAAAATGGTTTTATTTTGTAAGAAAACAGCAACATTATTTTGTGAATAGGCATAAACAAAAACTTGTATGAGTAAATTTTTTATTTTTAGTGATTTAATAAAAAGTAAGGTCGTTGCCATTTATCCCGGGGTCCCGAAGTCTCGGGTTCGATTCCCAGTCGGGTCAATGTAGGAAATAAACTTTTCTATATTGTCTCGGGTCTGGGTGTTGTGGTACCTTTGTTGTGAGGGTGAGAGTGTACGTTCCCACGGTGAATACATAATCGAAGTTAGTAGAGAAACTATTAATACGAGGGTCAAACTGAAAGTTCTTAGAAAATCAAAAACTGATTACATTAGCCAGTTATTAGTTTTATTATATCTTTTCAAAATATTGTCCATTCACGTCAATACACCGCTGCATACGATGGAACCACTGGGAAAAGCACTTTGCCCACTCGTCCTTAGGGGTCTCTTCAATGGCATCGCGATACGCAGCCACCGCTTCTTCAGCATTCATAAACCGCTTTCCTTTAAGTTTTTCTTTAATTTTTGGAAATAAATAAAAATCACAAGGTGCGAGGTCGGGGCTATACGGCGGGTGACCCAGTAATTCAACGTTTGATGTCGCCAAATAGTCGATCGTTCGCTTGGCGGTGTGCGACGAGGCGTTGTCGTGGTGAAGGAGGATCCTACTGCGAGGTCGTTTCTCTCGAACTTTTTCCAAGACAAGTGGCAAACAGTTGGTAGTGTACCATTCTGCAGAAACTGTTTTTTGATCCTCTAACACAATTGTTGCAAAATGACCTATCCTTCCAAAGAACGAGGCCACCATTTTTTTTCCCGCACTTCGATCTCTCTTCACTTTAGTTGGCAACTCCTCGAAAGGAAACACCCACTGAGCAGATTGTCTTTTGGTTTTAGGATCATAACAGTAAATCCAGCTTTCGTCACCTGTTAGTATGTCGAACACAGCATTTGAGTCACCTCCGTTAAATCTTTCAATCATTTTACGACACCAATCCACACGATGGAGTTTTTGAGCCTCAGTCAAATTATGAGGTATCCACCGGGCGCAAAGCTTCCTGACCGCTAAATGTTCGTGGAGGATTTTGTGCACTTGACTCATACCGATGCCTAAGCTTGTCCGAATCTGTTGATAGGTCACTCTTTTGTCAGTCTCTATCATACGCCGCACAACACGGATGTTATCTTCAGTCGTCGCCGTAGAAGGCCGTCCCTCACGTAAATCATCAGTGAGATTAGTGCGACCACGTTTAAACTCATTAAACCAGTTGTAAACAGTCGCACGAGATGGGGCTTCATCGTGAAAGGCCAATCGTAGTCTATCATAACTTTCTTGTTGACTTAAATGACATCGAAAGTCATAAAAAATCATTGCACGAAAATTTTCTCGTGTTAAATTCATGATGACGTGACACAGACAATTTTCAATTTGCCGCCAAATCGTAAAACAAATGACAAATGAATGAAATATATACTCAGTAATATTGGCAAAGAGTTATATTTTCAAATTTTAGAATTATTTTTTTATTATATTGTTTATAAGTGGCCAGTTCTAAGAACTTTCAGTTTGACCCTCGTATCACAGAATACAATTTTAGGTAGGAGAAGCGGTTTAAATATCTTATTGAGATAAGAGGAAGAATAAAATCAAGGCATGTTGGTCGATGGCAATATTATATTTATATTTTAATTGAACATAATATTAATGGGAGAGAGATGTAACGACGAACCCTTAGCTATTTTGATTTGTGCCCATTTATGTCCATATTTTGGATAGATAGAAGATAGAAGAGCACGACACCAAAACAATATCGTTTCACACGAGCATTTTTGAATATGATATATGATCATTGGGAGGATGACGAATATGATCATTGGGTGGGAAGGGTTGAGGGGTTAGAGGGTAGGGAATAGGGAGGGGTTGGGCCTCCGGTACCCTCACTCACACGACGAAACACAATGCAAGCGTTGTTTCACGTCGGTTTTCTGTGAGGCCGTGGTATCACTCCGGTCGAGCCGGCCCATTCATGCCGAAGCTTGGCTCTCCCACGTGAATATTCTTTATAATGAGAAGTGTATTGAGTAAGAACGAGTTTTTTTTTTAATCATTAATTAATATAGTTGTATTAGCTATCATTTGCTAAAGAAATTACTGACTTCTCGCTCTTGTTCATTACTATTTTCAATGTTATGCAGCATAGCCACAAAATCTTTATTTTATCATTACTCAGTTTCCTCTTTGCAAAAGTAATTTATATGAATAATAATGTCTTGCATACATCAACATTAAAAAATTGCATTTGACAGGTCAACGCTTGTATGGAGAGTGAACATTCTTCTTTAGGACCATTTTCTTCTTCTTAATTTTAAAGGCACTTTTTGTCACCTAGGACCATTTTAGGACAAGCAGCAACGAAACGCATTTAACCTTCGAATGCCTTTGAAATGTCAACGCGACATTTGTTATCAGTAATATCGGCACAGTTTCGATCGCGGTGTACATTTCGAATACTTTCGCTTTCTTTTTATGCCATGGAAGCTAAAGTAGATTTGAAACAAGACCCGGCGTTTAAAAAACTTCAAGAGTTTTACAATGCCAACGCCGACAAAATAAATATCCTACAATTATTCCAGCAAGACTCCAATAGATTTAATAACTTCAGGTATTCTTATATTTTAGTATTTCTAATTTAAAGTCTGACTGATTTACTTATATTTATGGGGTGAATTTGGTTTTAAACACATTTTTGAAAATGATTAGGAAGCAATTTATACATGATTAAGTCAAAAACGCCAATTTCACCAAGATTTAACATACAACTTAAAAGTCCTTTTAGAGGTCGTATCTATTTAGCTTAGAGCTAGTTCAATGACATTCGTAATTACGTACTATGTTACACGTAAGTATTTTTGAAATAATCTATTAATGAAAGTATCTTTATTGTCATAAGATATATTTAATTACCTAAATAAGCAGGTGGCTCATGTATTTCTAAAAAATCAATTTCAAAGGCTTTAATGAAATTTCAAAAATGATGTTTTTTTTCCTTTGTAAGATAATTGGTAATATTAGTATAGGGCCCTTAGATTTCTATAATCTAAGGGCCCTAATAGTCTTTTCACCCTCATTAGGTAACTCTATCTATTTAAATAAAAACAAATTGTTGTTTGTTTGTCTTGTTATAACTTGGCTGGGCCAATTTAGCTGATTTTGGTTTTCAAATTTTCATCATAGTTCAGGGTAGATTTAAACATAATTTAAGTAGTAATAACATATGGAAAAACTGCGAGGAAGATAGTAAAAATATTTACTGGTAATAATAGTTAAAATATTATAACCAATCAAAATTTTGAGCTATTTCAGCAAAAAGAGTTATATGATGTTGGGAATTGGTGATACAAAGAACACCTGGTCATCTAGTACTGAATAAAATTATGTCAGTTCATATACAAACTAAATAAATAGCTAGAAGTATTTTTACTATTGCGAATTTCACCATAATGGTGAAATAGGTGATACTATAGGCTTCTGCATGCTTCAAATGAAAAATAAATCTTTATTATATTTGATCAATTTTGCATTGATAATGCTATACTGCAAAATATTTTTAATGAAAAATGCTTAAAAATCCACTTTGTATCTGGCACTCTGAGATGGGACTCGAATCTATGACCTTTCGCATTCCTGCTGACTCCTCTAACCACTGAGCTACCCAGGATCTGATAGGACTGAGGAATTTTTCAAGCATGTGTTACTATCTCACTACTACAGAGCATATATTCATCAATATACAGGCAATCCACCTAAACAGCCGAAAGTAATATTTTAACAAATATTAGGTCATTACATATGAAATTGGCGTTTTGTCGTACTCGCCACTTTAATCACAAATTTCTCCTCCTTGGTTGGGAATTCTAAATTCAAATTTATAGAGCTATTTACACATGTATTTGTGTTTCATTAGGCGGTTATTATTCATTTGTTTTTTTTCTTCTGTTTGTCCAATTTACGTCACCCAGTATATAAAATGGAAAACATGAAATATCTTGTTGTTTACGAGTACGAGTTCCATAGTGGTACCAGTGCTTCGGAAACGGTTCGAAGGTTTAATGATGTGTATGGCGGGAGACCCAAGTTAAAAATGAAGAATTGAAGGCTATTGTAGAAGCGGATCCATCGCAAACCACGTCTGAGTTAGCTGGAGACTGCCGTGTTAGTGATAAAACTGTTTTAACCCACTTGACGCAAATTGGAAACCGGCAAACGTGCTTCGACTGCTGCGTTACATTACTTAACCGGCACAAAAAAGAAGGGTCTTTAAATCGAATCATTACCTGTGATGAAAAGTGGATTCTCTACGATAATCGGAAGCGCTTTTCGCAATGTTTGGACCTTGGCATGCGAATCAAATCCTGCCTCAAGTGAAAATTGACCCCAAAAAAGTACTATGTTCTCGCTAGCTTGATCATCGGACTAGTGAGATTTTTTTTTTCCCATTAGTTCGACCGTCGTACTTCTGAGAATGTTTTTTCCCATTAGTTCTTCATCGTACTAATTTAGAATTAAAAATAGTTCTACTACATTTAAGTGTTTCAATGATTTCGCAATACATAAATTAAAAACGCTTGGTTAAATAAATTAGTCTTGGGCATTTTTTAAAACTAACTAGCGCATTTTTTTTAAACAATGCCTAACACTAATTTGTCCACATGTTAATTCTGTTTATAGCGAACGCCACCTAACAAATAATGCCGTAGAAGGATGGCACCATAAAATAAATAATCTTTATTAATGAATCGAACTAGTGAGAACATAGCAAAAAAGTTACTTGTAAGCGTTTGGTGGACTAGTGCCGGTGTCGTTCATTACTGTTTTCTCAAATCTGGCCAGACGATTACGGCAGACGTCTACTGTCACCAATTGCAAACGATTTTATTGATTCCTAATGGTTTTTTTAGTAAGGGGATCAATGAACTACTCGTACCTATGAGATGGCAAAAGTGCATAGATAAAAATGGTTTATACTTTGATTAAATTAATATATTATATTAAAAATATTAGACTTTTTATTCCACCCATACTAAACACCAATTTCATATGTAAGGAAAATATAATATTTAAACTTTTGATAAAGATGAAATTTCTTCTAATTATACATATTTGATCAAATTTGTATTCATCATGCCCTATTGAAAAATATACTTAATGAAAAATTTTAGTATTTCTAATTTAAGCACTTGTTGTGCTTGAAAAATTTCTCAGTCCTGTTAGATCCTGGGTAGCTCAATGGTTTGAGCAGTCGCCGGGATTGCGAAAGGTCATGGGTTCAAATCCCATCTCAGACTGCTAGGGACAAAGTGGATTTTTTAAACATTTTTCATTAAGAAAGAATATTTTTTTACAGCCTCAACATACCCACCCCTAATGATGGCGATATTCTTCTGGACTATTCCAAGAACCGCATTAACGAGACAGTTTTCTCTTTACTCCTCGACTTGGCTAAAAGCCGTGGAGTTGAGAAGGCTAGAGATGCTATGTTCAATGGTAATTATTTGCCACTAACTAAATTTGGCATATAAAACTGTCCCAGACATAGAAGATAAAATTAAAATGTAAATAAAAAAAAAATACTCATCTCTTAACATTTGTATTTGATTGTTTTGCAATCTGGTTGTAAAGTGCTGCCGTCTTGGATATTCTAAATTCACTTTATGGCTGACTAGGCTGAGGTTTGAGCAATGTATTATTATCATATTTTCATAAATATTGCAGTGTTAGCGAGTGTTTACATTTTCCAGGTGAAAAAATAAACTTCACAGAGGACAGAGCAGTGCTCCATATTGCACTGCGTAATAGACAAAACCGTCCTATACTCGTCAATGGCAAGGATGTGACACCCGATGTAAATGCGGTACTGGAACACATGAAGGAATTCTCTAATGAGGTCATCAGTGGACAATGGAAAGGGTAAGTTTTTGATATCTGCGATGTGGATGGACTTGCTCAGTGGTATAAAAATACTAACACTAGCTTTAAAAAACTTCAACATAACCTAACCAGGATAACTTTATTGAGTCATCGCCATCTTTCATTCATTTCATTTGCATTTTACATGTAAAAAATAATTTATTTACTTGACATCGGCAGAATTCTGCGAAATGCGCAGATAGGCCATTAAAAAAGAAGAAGAAGAAGAACTTTACTTACATTTTTTGACGTGATTGTCAGAGAATCGTAACGCATCATATTTTAAACCTTATTCTCATTGAAATGAGACTCATTCAAAAATTTTACCATGTGTTCAGTTATCGTCGGAATTGGTAGGTTGGAATGAGCTGGAGTGTTGAACTATTATATGACCCAAATAAGAATGGGATCAGATTAGCTACTAACTTCGCGGCTTTGCTGTCATTTTAGTACTGATAGCAAAGAAAATAAAGATTGCTATTTTTTTTATTAGTTTGCTTTATACATCTATACTTATATTATAAAGAGGAAAGTTTAATAAAAAGATTTGATTAATTGTTTGTTTGTTTGCATGGATTAGTCTCCGAAACTACTGGACCGATTTTAAAGATTTTTTCACATTCGGGAAGCTATATCATCAGGAGGGTGACAAAGGTTATAATTTAAGCGGGCGAAGTCGCGGTAAAACAAATATATTACATTATTCGATTTATAATTAGTTTTAACATGACTTTATACTACAAGAATTAATGAAATAAATTTTCTAAATAGGTCACATCTTTTCTTTATTAAATACTTGGTCTTGTATTGTACATAAAAACCTTCCTTTTGAATCACCCTATCTATGAAAAACTGCATCAAAATCCGTTGGATAGTTTTAAAGATGTAGTTGATGATTTGAACTATTATGATGTTGATGTCGTCATTTTATTATTTCGATTTCAATTACATAATATTGAATAGGGTTCCTTTTTTTGCACACCATATACCTATGTTGAAACTCGTAGCGAACCGAAAGGCCATTTGAAAATTATTTGAAAATTTTGGTTAGTACTTATTACATGTTAATGTGATGATACAGGTACACAGGTAAACCTATCACTGATGTCATCAACATCGGCATCGGTGGCTCCGACTTGGGACCTCTGATGGTCACTGAGGCTCTTAAGCCGTACGCCAATCATCTGAAGGTTTGTGCCTACGCGTTAAACAAAGTTATATTGATTTATTTTTTATTTAAAGTTTTTTTCTTATTTCTTAATTCATATGTAGTGACGTTTAAACCATCTTGCAAAATCAACTCACTTATATTTTAGTGTCAAAGATTTTCTCTCTCATTTGTAATTTTTTTTTTAAACTCATTGTAACAATAATATAACTGTTAAAAATTCCTGTTGTGATTAAGTGTTTAAATTCTCTTTGGTGATGAAAATATCATTGAAAAATCTACATTTAAGACCAGAGATAGAACAAAGTTTGAATGTAAATGACCCAGCAAAAAGATGAACTGTGTCGATGGTACGACGTACCGTTATACAGCTGTTTGATATTCCAGGTGCATTTCGTGTCTAACATCGACGGCACTCACCTGGCGGAGGTGTTGAAGCGGCTGAACCCGGAGACTGCGCTGTTTATCATCGCCTCCAAGACTTTCACCACGCAGGAGACTATCACCAACGCCACATCCGCCAAGAACTGGTTCCTCGAACAGGCTAAAGACGTAAGTGCTGCTTTTGATAAAGAAAAAAAAATTATTATCTTCATGACTTTTTTTGTTAGATTTAATATTTTTCAATTTTAAAAATAAAACGAGTTAATTATATATTAATTCCTATAGGCGTTGATTTATATATTGTAATATGATTGGTTTATATAGGGGCGTCGCTAGCTGATGCCCCCTCCCCCAGTTGATTATGGAGAATGAGCTAAGTATGCATAGTACCTAAAGTTGAGAGAGAACATGAAGCTTGTTACTTTTAGTACTTGCTTTACATCTACGGCAACTATATATTGCAATTTGATACAAGTTTCCTACTTGACTGTTTTGAGAAAGTATTTTAAAACTTTTCATATGATCATATTAAACCACTTTCGGATTTATGTTATTAAAAAAAGGAGAAACATATTTCGAGCCGTGACGTCATATTTCATTAGATTAAGTACTGGTTGCACTCACAGCAAAGTAGTGAGTAGAGTAATTTATTGAAATGTGACGTCACACGATGCTTCGTCATGGTCGGATTATAAAGATATAGCTTATAAATCGCAAGTAATCTACAAGTTTTTGTTTACATAGAAGACACTACATAAAATTAATTTACTGTTTATATTTTATAGTTAATTGTTATAACTATCAAATAACCACGTTTGTTTTATTTTTAAATAGTTTAATTAAATAAATGACGTTGACTGTTTTATCAATGTGGTGCCGTATTTGATTCCCGGTCGAGTCAATGTAGAAAATTATCTTTTCTATATTTCCGGGTCTGTATATTTACCTTCGTTTTTCGGAAGTGCTTCAGCTACTTTATTTGCATTCTGAGAAATGTATTTATTGGTTTATTTATTCAACTATGTTTGGTTCTCTTAGCCTGCTGCAGTCGCGAAACACTTCGTGGCATTATCAACTAACGGTGAGAAGGTGACCGCCTTCGGTATTGACCCTAAGAACATGTTTGGTTTCTGGGACTGGGTCGGTGGCAGGTGAGTCGGTAAATTTTCAGTATTAACTCAATGTTTCACGGTTGCTTTGACATTGAAACGAAATTCATGTCACATGTGTAGACATTTAAACCAAAAATTTCTTAATTTCAATTATTTTCGTATAAAGCCTTAAATCTTATATTTGCCAGGTACTCGCTTTGGTCCGCTATCGGCTTGTCTATATCCCTTTACGTGGGTTATGATAACTTCGAGAAGCTTCTAGAAGGTGCCAACTTTATGGATCAGCATTACCTCACCGCGCCTCTGGAGAAGAACGTAAGGAGCAAATAATTTTGTCTGTTTGAATTAATATTTATAAGTGTAATTTGTATTCTCAATGCTGCTTTACATTTATTTAAAAATAATTGATGATTTCTTTTAGGTTTTCCAAAATTTTAAGCTTAGTAGCGCCCGAGCTAAAAATGGATCAATTTTTGCTTTATTTAGTTAAATAACTTCAAAACTTCAAGTATTAATTAATTTTAAATCTTAAAATCCGAGCTGGAGTCTTACTGTCTAATTTTAAAAGTTACGCAAATTTAATAAATCGCAATGCCTTTTAAAGGGTTTGCGATAGATTATGAAATTAGATAATTAGGCCACTGGTTTTTAGGCTTCCCCTCCCATCTTAGCCCTCCGCAAGCGTTGCTTAACACCCGTTTATGTATTGTTGTTTTCAGGCACCTGTAATACTAGCTCTATTGGGCGTGTGGTATTCTAATTTCTATGGTGCAGAGACGCACGCTCTATTGCCATATGATCAGTATTTACACAGGTAGGTTTATTTTGAACTTTAAACCAAATACATTAAGGTCTCTAATAGAATGAACTCTGCCAGCTCGTTATTATTTTAAGTTTTATTTTATGAAACAATAAATCCATTCTTCATGAAAAATGCTTGATCCAATGCATCTTGAGATGACATTCGAACGCATGACCTTTTGCAGTCCGGGCGACTGCTCTAACCACTGGACTAACAGGACTGACGAATCTTTCAGCCCTTTTAATTTTTTCGCTACTACAGAGCGTATTCTCATCAATGTCAAGGCAATCCGCCCAAACAGCCAAAAGAAATATTCTTACAAATATTGAAACTAATATTTGATCAATTCGCATTCCCAATGCTGTGAAAAATGCTTAAAGGATTCGTCAGTCCTATCAGGTTCTGGGTAGCTCAGTGATTTAATTGCGAAAGGCCATGGGTTCGAATCCCATCTCAGGGTGCCAGGGACCAAGTTGATTGTTTAAGCATGTTTCATTAAAATATTTTTCAGTATAGCATCGTCAATGCGAATTGAATTTGATCAAATATAATAAATAAATACATATTTGAATTGATACAAACATTTACTATATTAGATAGATGATTTTTGCCAGTTTTTGACCACATCACTTTAATTTAATAAACTTTATCTATTTCTTAAATTTTCACGCGCACTAAACATAAATGAAACAACTTTAAAACGGTTTCATCGCGTTTGTATTTAGTTTTATTGACATTTCCGGTCCTTCACAGGTTCCGTAATCACATAAAAGTGACAGTATCTATGGTATATTCATAGATTATTATTCCTAAGAGAATGTAATACAATGTTACTATTCTATGATATACTCATTGTTGTTTATGACAGCGTAATGATTGTCTTATATTTTTCCATATATAAAGTTGAATTAAACCATTAGTCTCAAATGGTTTGTATCTTTTCGTATCAGTATTCCGATTTGTAACTAAGATTATGAAACAAACTCATGTTACCAGTTTCAATATCGTATAGTGACAGAGTGTCACTGGTTTTATCAAATAGCGACAGAGTAAATTGATTTGCATATTAACATATTCTCTATGAATACTCTTAAAAAATTCACTTTGTCTATGACATTCTGAGTTGGGATGTATATTAACGTTAGCGTTCTGAATTAGGTTCGCGGCATACTTCCAGCAGGGCGATATGGAGAGTAATGGTAAGTATGTTACCCGATCAGGGAAACAAGCTAGCTACAACACCGGGCCCATCGTGTGGGGAGAACCGGGAACTAATGGGCAACACGCCTTCTACCAGCTTATACATCAGGGCACCAGGTATGTCAATCAAACAACATAGCATATTATAGCCCATTCTGTTCTGTTTACCACTGTCTTAAATAAACTAAAAGATGGCTACTTGATGTTTTTGGGAAAATTTTAAGGCTTTCTTATGTTCATATTTTATCGTTATTAGATTTATTTTTCTCCATAGTGTTATAAATAAAGAAAATACATATTTTATTAATTAAATTGAATAGGGTCGGATAATTTTTTGCGTAATCAATAAAGTACGGCGATACATTGAGTTGAAATGTCGCATGATGTCACGCTTTTGTACATTTTATACAAAGCTGTGACGTGTCTGTCTTTGCCATTTCTTGTTAAATTAAAATAAATGCGTATCTAATATTTTTCTATTATCTATGACTGAAAAACTAAAATCTCTTTTTTTACCCATGCATCCATATTGTCCCGCGAAATCAATCAGTCATTTGACATTCGTGACGTCACATTTCAATAAACGAGTATTAACTAAGTATATCATACGCGGCTGCAGTTGCGGCAAAACAGCTAGATATATATATTTCTTTATTTTTTGCTCTTTAGATTGATTCCGTGCGATTTTATCGCGCCGGCGCGCACTCACAATCCTATAGCAGGCGGGATACACCACAAGATATTACTCGCAAACTTCCTCGCTCAGACCGAAGCGCTGATGAAGGGAAAAACCGCTGACGAGGTTAGTCATCATCACAAGTCCTTTTAAGTTCCCACTGCATAGTGGCTCAGGCGGGAAGCCTTGTTTTTACTCGAGTCACTTGTAGATTTTTCAAACTCTTACTCCACTGAAAAACAAAATTACTTAAGTCTTTATGCACTCAAGTTAACTCGGGGAATTGAGTTGATTCCGTTGACACCAGCACGCATAGCATGACAAACTCGAGAAACACTATATCTACACCCAAATGTCACTTTCTCGGGTCGAGAATGAGATATCGTATGGACGCACCCGAGAAAAGTGACATTTGGGTGTAGACAAAACGTTCTCGAGTTCGTCACGCTACCCGTGCAGAAGTAACTAAATGTACTCTACTTTATTTATCTATGTCCCTTAATTTTTCTTTGTTGATTACTCCATTAAATAATATGTGAAAACTCTTTTAATGTGTATTTCATTTTATAATTATATAGGCATTTGTTTAAAATTACTAAAATATATATCACTCGGATTGCAAACTTGCAACTTAAGTGACTCAAAAACTCGAGTGATGTAGTTAAATGGCTCGAGTGACTCGAGTCACAAAATTCTATTCGAATCGCATCCATTCACGCTGGCCCAATGCAGATGGGAGGGTATTATTGTCTGTAAATACAGCCGGGACCAACTACTTAACATGCCTCCCGAAGCACGGAGTAGCTCGAGATGATTTTGGTCACCCATCTCATGACCAGCCGTTGGGAAAGTTGCTTAACAATAACAACCGAGCTACTCATGATGATGATAATGGCGAGGTCAGTAATTATCATCATAATAACTCGAATTATTAATCATAATTTTCATGTTTCCCTTTTGAGAAACATGAAAATTAATATAAGCCCTGCGATTCTGTAAAAATCCATTCCCGAATTCGAATCACTAATGTCTGAATTCACGTCCTTTAGTTTACAATTTTTTTTATTAAAATATAAAACTAAATTGATTGAATATACGTGTCTCAGATATTCTATTCCCATGTCATTCCAAAACTCACTTCACTTATGCCACGAAACATTATCACTAATTCAAGGTCGAGCGCCGCTATTTGAAGTGAATTCGGGTTTGGATTTTTACTGAATCACAGGGCAGTTTACTATGCAGTATTGTACTTGGTTATACAGGGTTAATTAAAACACTAACTATTTCGCAGGACTAACATCATAAAAAACAGCGTTTGATCTACGAGTTTGATATTTCACGAGTTACTCTTTATGCTAGATTAATATAAATATATAAGATAATTTACCAAGGATACGTCATTTTATATCTACAGGCTAAAGCAGAGTTGGAGAAGAGTGGTATGGCTCCAGAAGCATTAGCGAAGATTCTCCCGCACAAAGTGTTCCAGGGAAATCGACCCACTAACTCTATCCTGCTCAGACAGGTCACACCTTTCACTCTCGGCGCACTCATTGGTGAGTTACCTGTATATCTATTCATTAGGTGCTCTCCAAAAATTGGGATGACGACTGGGTAAAAAAAAATAAGATATTTTATTTAGTCCGTTAAATACATAATAGAAAAAAATTAGATATGATTTTTTTTAAATTCAATTTAACAGGGAATCTCTGAGAGAACGAGCATTAAAGTTGAGGAGTGGGGGCTCGCTTTGTTAGTCTTGTAGAAAATGTACAAAAGCGTGACGTCTTTTTAACTCAATTTATCACCATAATTTAATTATTACGCAATAAATAAATAAAATATGTTTTTAATAATCAACAATCTACCTGATGGATAAACAAAAAAAAAATGTCATCACTTCTATTACGTCACACGAATTATATGAGTTTGTTCATACAAACTATTAAATATTGTCCTAAATATGGCACTTCTATAGACCAGTCACCAAGCATGCTAAATATCGTTAACTTTACTATGACAAAATTGGCTAGATGCACCTGTACGAGCGCAATAGCAATATGTTTACGCATGAGTGAAAGAGATATGTAATACCGTGTCATTGTACTAAGGTATCTATGTTAAGCGACCTGACTATAGTTAATTATGTATTGATCAAATAAAAACTGGTAATTGAGTAAACTTGAGAAATTTTTAATTAAAATTTGAAATATGTAAAATAGTAAATGGACAGACTAATAACATGCATGGCACGTTAATTAAGCCAAAATGGCGATTTCCCGCGCTGGTACAGTCATGGTCTGTGCTGTTGCTATGCTTATTGTATTACCCCCGCACCTCAATTGAGACCCGACGCCACGCTTAACATAGTAGCATGAAAGTTTAAAATAATAAGTTGTGTTATTGACATCATTGTAAAATATAAAATGCATATTCAATTAATATCTTCATTATTTTTTACCCCTGAATTAGTAAAATTGAATTGTGAACTTTGATGTCTAAAAGAAGTTCTCATTAAATAGCACGATCTCAAAAATACTTAAGTATACTTAAGGTTGACGTCATAATATGGCAGACATTAATTCATGATTGCTTTTGCGCCGAATTCAAAATAAAGATTTAAAAATTACAAAATGACAGTTTTATCTTGAATAATTTGCGGACGAAAATAGTTTTAATGGGGAAATTTACCTGCAAACCTACTTTCATATAATTTAAAATTTGTCAATAACCCTATTGTGGGAATCTGATTTCAACACCTTTTGTTTCGACAATTTCCAGCTATGTACGAGCACAAGATATTCACTCAGGGCGTGATATGGGACATCAATTCCTTCGACCAGTGGGGCGTAGAACTCGGTAAACAGCTGGCCAAGGTCATTGAACCCGAGCTGAAGGACGATAACCCCGTCTCTTCTCACGACTCGTCCACTAATGGACTCATCAACTTTATCAAACAAAACTTTTAAGCAGATCTGAACATGTAGAGACAGTTATTGTTCACTGTAGTAGTGTTGCCAGAACAAATTATTACATTATTATTGTTGATAAATTTTCTATTCATAATGCTGTATTGATATTGTTATAGAAGAATATTTGTAACCCTTTTTTCAACTATTTAGTAAGTTACCTTAACATTATAAAAATACACTCACGAGCTGTGCGAAATAACAATTATGCCAAAATTATCATGGTATCAGCCACAAAGAAACTTGCTTGCCTGATAAATACAGGAATAATTTAAAACCACTGCGAAGATTTTGTGAAAATAAACTTATAAACACGTATTTTTTATTTTGATATGTTCTAATACTAAAAAATAAAGTTATCGCTTATCAAAGATCGAGATTTTAAAACTTAATTTATGGACACCGCGCGCCGTGCGTCAGCTGAGCGCTCGCTCGACGCCGGCCGTAGGCATGTACTCGTAGGTACCTATCTACACGGGTCACTGAACGCTCATTTTGTTAGATTCGAACTAGATTTTATGCCATGATCTGAAGTGATTTCTAAGAGTAATTCCAATTTTCCCTTCATACTTTTATGGTTAAGGCCATCAAAATGCAAAAAAATAAAAGAGACAAATTCGTTACCTAGAAAAAAATATTAACGTTATGCCGAAGTTACATAGGTACTTCTGCGTTAAGGCGTATTTAAAAAAATTAGAATCAACTACGTATTTACAATAATGTTGATTCAAAACAAATACCTAACTAATTATTTACCAAGTATTTTAATATTTGTTCAAAATGAAGTCCACGTCTGTCCAGACATAAACGTGCACATTTCATTAAATCGTCATTTAATTTGTTTAAAACACTAGTGTCACTTTTCACATCACTGAAAGCGTTATTATTTTTTATTGTTAAGTCTTCTAGACTTTGTGCCTCCTCTACATCTCGGCGTTTGACTTCTTCCCATAAGAAACAGTCCCTCACTTGTGAACAATGCCTCATCCGTCTACAAGATGTTTGCATCGCGGTGATGTAGAAGCCACTCACATAAGGCTCGACGTGGTACTGGGTCTAGGTCATGGAACTGCTGAACCGGCTGAAAGTGGTACGGATGGAGTCCGGCTGTTTTTAGCAGCTTCAATACCGGAGGCTGGCTCACACCAAAGAGATATGCCGCATCGTGGGTACTGACTCTGGGACTTCGTCTGTTAAAATGGTTCGAAGCATTAGGGACCGCTGGGGTTACGGATCCCAAAGGCCCGCATACGAGGTATGCTCTTCGTCGCATACTTTCTCCGAATTGCGCTTATGTAGGTCAGAAGATAAACTCGTACCATCTCGTAAAACTCACGACGGCGGGCGCGTCGCGTGCGCGGGAACGCGAGGACACGTCACATCGGCGCGTGCGTATGAGTCTCACTGTCGCGCGCGTCGCTCGGTCCCGGCGGGGCGGTGGGGGCTGTGACGGGGGGGCTACCGGGCGCGGCGGGGTTGCACGGTGGCATACGCAAGAGAAGACGTTTTCATTGAAGTTTTATTTTAAAAAATGTGTCCATATTCTACTGTTTCGATAGGGATAAAAATATTTAAAAAAAAGTTTTTAACTAATTATGAAAAAGTGTTCTATTACTGATACTGAACCACCAAAAAAAATTTTTGCACTGGAAAAAAAAAATCCTGTATATTGAATATATCTAGTAAAAAAAAGATATTTTTAAAGGTAGCAACACAGCATAGATATAGTAAATTAATTTGGTAAAAAAAATGTAAGATTTCGTTTTAAACTCAATAAATGCTATTAATATTTGTTGCACAACAATATGCTCTTTATTTATAATTGTGATTTTGTATTTTTATAATATTAATTCTAATTACATTGCAGTCACAGGAATATTGAAAAAAAAATCCTAATAAATATTTGTGATATTCATATCTTAGTTATCAATGTTTGTATTGAACTTATGTGATTTTTTTATATAGTGTTCCTATGTATTGAAAATGACACTTAAAATTTACTTATATAAAAATTATATATTTGTTAGTACTTAACCCAATAGGGTATATAAGAAAGCATTTAAGATAATTATTTCACTTCTTTCAAAGTAAAGTTAATTATGTATGTTGTAATATAGAGACAAAACCACTAGTATCATGCTATTAAACAATACTAAATTATCATTGCCCAAAGGGGTTTAGGACCTAAATTAATGTTTGTTGGTAGCGAGCAATTCAATGAAAAATGTATTTATATTATGCACATGATGAGTTTTATTTGTATCTGACAGCTAATTTGTTCTATAGCACTACGCTAAACTTATAGAATTTTGTGACGAGAAAATCCATCACCAATATCATAATAATTTTTTTTCCACTGAAAAAATACATAAATCTCTCTCCTTTTAAGTATGTAGCGGTATTTCTTATACTTACAGTACCTATGTCGATAACAGTAAGATGTAATGCAATTTTTATATTTAAAAAAGAATTTTGAAAGTATTTGTTGTTAAGATTATTTAATTTTGTGTTGCAAGCAAAACCGTGATTATTATAATTTGTGGTTTATGGTTCAGATTTTACAGTTGCTTTAACGTAGAATCTGGACCGTGTATATGACGTTTTAAATATAAATACTAATAATTCATTATTGAATTACAACTAGTGCGTTTCTCATTATAAGTGTTAATTTGTAATCCGAAATGAATGTTCTAAACAGTATATTTAAATGGTGTTTGCTTCTAGTATATTCCAGAATGCTTTGTTTCTTGTTAGAATATATTGTTTAAATTTATATTAAAATTATTAAAATTGATGTTTTAGATCTGACTATTTTTATTATTTCTATAATATATAAAGCTTTTTACAGTAAAACTGAATAACCCTGTTACTTAAAGGAGTATATTTAGTAATGAGATCTCAGTTCATTTTGGCGTTCTCAAAGTTGTAGTAACACAGATGAATGTATATAATTGTTGCCTTAAATAAGGCAAATTGGTAATAGTTAAACAAATTCAAAGATCGCGCGTCAGTTGACCACAATGTCTCCTTGGTTCCATTATTCAGTTTCACTATAGGACTGGGTTATTGTTCCCAGTAGTTCCATGAAACAGCGAATGTTATTTATGAAAGGCAAAATTAGTCCCATTTATAAATCCGATATTAATTGAATGAAACAACAAATAAAATGAGACGAAATTTATTTACTATCAATTTTCTCGGAATAAACAATACATACATATAAAAATGAGCTGTCTTATTAATATAGGTATTATTAGAGTAGGTAAAAAAATACGGGGTAAGCAGAAATGGCATTCCGTCAGAAAGAGAGAGAAGATCGCGCAATTGTTCCACATAACAAAATGGTGTAACTCAAAGGGAACAAAGGAATTATTCACGTGTTAAGGGTAGATAGACCAAAGCCTGAGCGTCACTTCCTCGAAGTTCAGTAGTTAGTATTGCCATATACGCTCGCTGGTTTTTATAGCTAACATTGCGAAAAGTGTATTAAGACACCTTTCACAATTAAATCGTTACATTGTCTTGCGCCATTTCTACATCCTTCCACTTTAGCTTTATATATCAGTTATGCCATTCTTCACTAGGCATCTTTGAATAAGTCCACAGTTTTTTATAAATATTTTATTTTAAAACTATAGCGGATTGACAAACTTAGTATTCGTAGTAACAAACCGTCAGATCGTTCTGCCGTACTCCTTTACATTCTTTAGTTAACTACGTATTCGCGAATAGAGACGATCTGCTCTCTTTTTCTAATATAAGTACAACTAGGTTTCTCTTTCTATCTGAAATACTTCTAAGTCTATGGTTTCACCATCCATTTTTTGAAATTTTACATTCTGTAATAAATGATCACTACAAATGTAATATCTCAGTAATATATTTCGAACCTCTTGCAAAATATTCGATACTTAAAGATTCTAGAGATATCTTAAAATCGAGTTCACTTGACACAGTATCAGTTAAAAATGAAATACAAAAAACTTTAGCATATAAAAACAATTGATATCAGCCCAGCTGATATATGGTATATTATCAAAGGCGGTAATTACTATCACCTGGTTTCTGAATTGAGAATTCAAAGGTAAGAACGTTTTAAACGTCACTTTAACAGGTTTTTAGTTTTTAACGATCAGTTGAAACATATTGATAAAACTAGAACTTATTGAGAATAATTTGTAATCTCTTAATTCAGAAACCGGTCGTATATCTTCATGTAACTATAACACTGAAAATTTTAGAATAAATCAACCAATGATTATTATCAATAGATTCGAAATTTATAATTAAATTAGAGTTTTCAAATACATCAAAATAACAGAAAGTATCGTCAGTGAAAATCAAGTCACAAAATTCGGCAAAAAAAAAAAAAATTACATTGAAATAAATATCATAGAATTATTTTATTAGAAGTAGGATTTTTGTCTGCGTATCAAGTGACCTGAAATACGACCCGCCATAGTGTGACGTCATATCGGCAGTAATATTTTTGCATCTGTCATATTAATCGTTAGCAGCGTACTATTTATTATAAAGCAGATCCATAAAAGGCGCTGTTCTTACCATATCTGTCTTTTAGTTTTAAAGCAAGACACTGTTATTTCACTGTTATGTGTCTATTTTATTTACATACGTAAATGACGTCATGAATATGGCGGACAGCGTTTTTAATTTTAAATCAAGAAAACGTTTATATTTCGAAATAAAAATACTTTTTCATACATAATTATTCTATAACACAAACAAATAACAAGATGAGATTAATTGAAGTAACATGAAAAAAGGCAAAATGCGTTATTTGCTAATGCTAATATTCAATATTCAGATCTGTTAATTGCAATTAATCGAGAAAAACAGGTAGTGCCATTCAGCTTAGTTTGGCTTGGCGGGCCATTACCGTGGACCTATATAGTAAAAACAAATACACAATAAAGTTGAGAATAAACTTATATTAGATCAATCGTATTATATAAACTATTTAGGTACAGTCAACAGCAGGTCAGGTTATACAAATCTGTCATTTTTTTTCACTCGACTTTAAAACTTAATGCGATAGTAAAGTCAAAAATCAATTGCAATTTGACATATGGTAACTTGACATACTGCTATGTGTACATTTTTTTATAACAAATAACTGGATTTTTAAATATTTCAAGTTATTTAGGTTTCCTTCCTCTACCGCTTTTCACTTTTTTGTTTGCATTTTTCTTTTCTTCTTCCGCTTTCCGCTTCGGATTTGGTGTTGTCGATATCTAATGGATGTTTTATCATATTATTGAATAAGTGATTAAGTTTATATATATTAACTAGCTTTCGCTTGGTTGCCCCGGGCTGCGAGCAGCCCGGGGAGGTTACGAGCAGCTAGTGGAATCGGGGCGGTGGGGTTTCAAGTCCACCTCGTGTTTTGTCGGGTTCATAGTTTGAAATTGTCTAGAAAAGGTCAGTAAGTTCTATCTTCAAATAAAAGGTGTTAAAGGACAAAAGCACCATACATCAAAGAAAAAGTGTTGCCAGTTCACACTTAATAGAAAAAGATATTCAGTCGAAAAACGCAAGCAAAACTTAAAATAAATTTTGTATAGATACTTAAAATAAGTTTTGTGTTTTATTCTCTTATTCTAATTTATTATTAAATTACTGTATAATATTAAAAAACAATCGAACATATATTTCCATCAGTGTTACTATCATTAATTAATCAATTAAATGTCAAGAAATAGTATTTATTGTATTTGCATTATTACATTACATTATTTATGTAAGATTTATTTATTATATGAAAAGGGTACCGATGTCGTGGCCAGATATTAGAATAGATCAATTCACGACGCAATGGGGTTTTAAGTCCGCCTTCGTTTCAGAATAGAAGCTTTCACTTGGTTGCCCCGGGCTGCTCGCGGGGAGGTCACGAGTAGCTAGTGGAATCGGGGCGGTGGGGTTTTAAGTCCGCCTTCGTTGCAGAATTTGAGTTTTTCGATTTTTTTTTGTTATGTTTGTTTTATAGTTTGAAATCGCCAACAAAAAGTTAGTAAGTTCAGTCTTCAAATGAAAGGTGTTTAAGCACCATACATCAAAGAAAAAGGGTTGCCAGTTTACACGCAATAGAAAAAGAAATATTCAGTCGAAAACGCAAGCAAAACTCTAAATAAATTATAGTCTCTTATTCTTTTCAATAGTAAGTATATATTTAGTATGAAAAAGGATCGAGTAGATATTTCCCCCAGTGTTACCTTAAATAATAATACACCAAATATATAAATGTCATATTTCAAACTCATATTTACGTAGAACACTTTCATTTTGAATATCAAAAGAACATGTTTTCTCAATAATCTAAAAGTATAGAAAAATATATTTTAAGTATTAAATATCGTGTCAAAAATTGAATTCTCTTTTCTCCATACTTACCTATGTGAAAGTACATACCTACACAAATGGTCCATATTTATACGCTATAAAGATCCCGAATTGTCAAGTCCATCGAAATCAAAATTGAAATTAAAATGGTCACGATCATCTTTTAAACATTATAAACCAAATGTTACCATCAACAAAAGCGATTCGATTCTGGCACTTCGCCGGCCGCTGCCGCGGCATGCTCGCTACGCTCGCTCGGCTCGTGCGTTGTTTTTCATACACTAACCTAACCTAACCCATATGTCATAATAAAATCTAAAACCTATACAAGTTTTTATTGCTTTACTTATTGTCAAGTTCTTGAGCATAAACGAGTCGCTTGTGGAATCGGAGCGGTGGGATTTTAGGTCCGCCTCTTGTTATGTTTACAGTTTAAATTTGCTTAGAAAAAGTTAGTGAGTTCTATCTTCAAATGAATACGTCATACGTCAAAGAAAAAGGGTTGCCAGTTTACATTAAATAGAAAAAGAAACATTCAGTTGAAAAACGCAAGCAAAACTAAAATGAAATTTGGAATAGATCGGCTTGTAGTCATTTATTCTCTTATTCTTATTCAAAAGTAATTTAATATTTAGTTAATACAGATATAGGAGTTTTAAGACCGCCTCTTGTTATGTTGGGTTTACAGTATAAAATTGCCTAGAAAAAGTTAGTAAGTTCTATCTTCAAATAAAAGATCTTTAACTACGCAAAACATCATACATAAAAAAAAAGATTGCCTGTTTACACGCAATATAAAAAGAAATATTCAGTTCAAAAACGTAAGAAAACTTGAAATAAATGTTGTATACATCGCCTTGTAGTCTTTTATTCTTATTCAATAGAAAATTTCCTAAAAATCACAGTATCAAAAAAAAACTGTTTTTTATCATCCGGCAACACTTCAACTGAATACATTTTTTTTCTGTAAGTAATCTGCAAAATGTTATCAATAACGCCAAAATCAGCTCTATAAAGTTAAAACTGATACATTTTCTAGCACACATTTGGTCACAGTTCCTTAACCGATTGACCAGGTCTCCATTTATTATGGCTCGCTTCGCTCGCTTTTTCTTTTCGTTTTTTTCGCAGATCTAATCTAACCGATTGACCAGGTCTCTATTGATGGTGTCCTTTATGGCTCGCTTCGCTCGCATTTTATTTTAGTCATAGTTCTAACCCTACTAATTAACCAAATCTCTCTTAACAGTTGCTCCTTATGGCTCGCTTCGCTCGCTTTTTGTTTTAGACACGTTGCTAACATAATCGATTGATCAGGTCTCTCTTGGTCAGGTCAAGCATTATGGCTCGCTTCGCTCGCTCTTTATTTTGGTCACAGCGCTTTAAGCAATTGACCAGGTCTCAATTTTTTCTGGCTCGCTTCGCTCGCTTTTTGTTTTATTGTGAGTTCTAATCTAACTGATTGACCAGGCCTCTATTGATGGTGTTTTTTATGGCTCGCTTCGCTCGCTTTTTGTTTTAGTCACAGTTCTTTCCTTACCAATTAACCAAATCTCTCTTAATAGTTACTCTTTATGGCTCGCTTCGCTCGCTTTTTGTTTGAGTCAGAGTGCTAACATAACCGATTGATCAGGTTTCTTTTAATGGTCTCGCATTATGGCTTGCTTCGCTCGCTCTTTATTTTGGTCACAGTCCCTTAATCGATTGACCAGGTCTCCTTTATTATGGCTCGCTTCGCTCGCTTTTTGTTTTATTCGCAGTTCTAATGTAACTGATTGATCAGATTTCTATTGGTGGTGTTATTTATGGCTCGCTTCGCTTGCATTTTATTTTAGTCACAGTTCTTACCTTACCAATTAATCAAATCTCTCTAATTGGTCACTCTTTGTGGCTCGCTTCGCTCGCTTTTTGTTTTAGTCACAGTTCTAATCTAACCGAATGACAATGTCTCGCTAGCTTTATTTCTCTGGCGAAAATATTGGAATTTTTTTCTCACCACGTAAAGATTGTGTAAAGATACACAAACGGTCTATATATGCAAAGCTTCAAAATCGTGAGCTCGGTCAGAATCATTCTGAAATTTATATGGTGACTACTATCAGTGTTGCTAGTCGATCACTCAAATTATTCCATAAATTATATTATAAACTACAGTAAAAATTTTGTTAAACAGTGAAATAATTGTAAAAAGATATTTAAATATTTTTCATAAATGACATACATGAAAGTTTCTCAATAATCTCGGTATAAAAAAAATTTACAGACTTTTTTTTCATCTGGCAACACTTCAGCTGAATACATATTTTTTGTTAGAAGTATTCTTAAAAATGTTACCAAAAACGCCAAAATCAGCTCTATAAAGTGAAAGTCATGAAAAATGATAATTTTCTAGATAAAATGGTCGCTGTTTAAGCCGCCATCTTGAATTTTGAAATTTCACCCCTCACACCTATGTAGCCCACCTATTGGCGCATCCAACGCAGTTTCTATTATTTTCCTAGCGGCGATAATGACTACGCTAGAGTCCAAAAAGTGAATAGTGGGTATTAAATTTTCAACCCACCGTAGCCGCCGTAGGGTTGCCAGGTGTAGGCGATGAGAACAGTCAAATGTGATTTCGGGATGCGCCCTCCATCGACGGATACCAATTTACAAGTTCTAAAACTATTTCTTTGACATTTACAGTTTTTGGGGTAAATCTCAGAAACTTCCCTAAAATCGGGTAATTTTTTTCCACCATATGAAAGAGTCTTTAGAGATACATAATCGCTCCATACATGCCAAATACCTGCGGGGTTGCCAAGTCGGTCAAAATCGAGGTTGAATTTTAAACGTTGTTTGCTCTCAGTGTTGCCAGTCGATCGTTCTATTTTTCCATCGGGTATCTTGAAAAGTTAAAATTAAAATATTTGCATCGAAAAAAATGCAAAATTCGACAAAAAGTGTTTCCCCAAAAATCTCATAATTTATCAAAAATTTTCAAGATTTTTTTTCACCTGGCAATACCTCAGCTACTTGCCTAAAAATTGTTTCCCCGGAAGTAGTCTGACAAATGTCGCCAAGTGCGTCAAAATCGGCTCGACGTGGTGACGATACCCAATTTTTCGGATAAAATGGCCGCTGGTTTGGCCGCCATCTTGAATTTTGAAAATCCGGCTCCGTACCGGTGTGGCCAACTCGATAGCGCATCCGATGCACTTTTTACCATTTTCCTAGTGGCAATACCGACTGCGCTAGAGTCGACAAAGTAAAAAATGGGCAAAATATTTTAAATCGCTGCTCCTACCAGGGTTGCCAGGTGACGACGATGAAAATGGTCAAATGTCATTTCGGGGAGTGCCCTCCGTCGAGGGAAAGCATTTTTGAAATTCCCAAACGGCTCCTTCTACTTTTCACCTTTTTGGGGTAAATCTTCGAAATTACCCTAAAATCGGGGAAAAATTTCACGTCATTCGAAAGAGGCAGCGGAGACTCACGACCAGTCCATACCAGGCGAAGAGCTCCAATGTTGCCATGTGTGCTAAAAGTGCGTTTGAATTTTTCGAAAAAGTGAAAAAATCACAAAATGGCCGCTGCCGGCGCCGCCATATTGATTTTCCCGAGTTTCATAATTTTCCCATAGTCACGACTATATCAGGCAAGGGACCTCATTCACAGATTTGCTCCGCTGGCCACCCAGGTTCCCAAACAATTCGGGTTATGAGGGCATGTCGAAAAACACGTTTTCTATCGTGGAGCCCAGGGTTGTCAGCTCGCGGAAACGAAAACTACCAAAAGTCATAGGGCTCCCTCGGCACAACACCGCATCGAGTCTGTTTTCCGCGAAAAGTGCGTATTTCGAAATTTCACTTTTCTCCCAAAATCTCATAAACTACCACGAAAATGGTAGAAATTATTACCAACTTAAAAAGTTAGCAGCGAGCCCCACGACCGCCCCATACGACGCGAACCCGTCCGACGCCGCCATCTTGGAGAAAATCTCACTGGAAAATGGCGATTTTACAATGCCGAAACAAAATGGCCGCCCCCGCCGCCGCCATGTTGACAGGCGAATAAAAACTCCCCCTACGTGAAAATCGACTATACTTCCGAGTCACCAACGAAAAGATTCCCCCTCCAAACCTACCACACAAGAAATGACGATTGCCCGAACAGAGGTCGAAAAATGCACATTTTCCAGGTGAAATATCTCGGCCGCCATTTTGTTTTTTTAATCAAACCCCTTTTCAGCCTTATTTTTTTAGCCAAATCTACAACCATTTCGAAAATCGTAACCGTAGAGTGAATAATGTAGAAACTAAAAAAATTATCTCGCCGCCATTTTGTTTTTTGGCTGTACCGATACGCCATTTCAACTCATTTTAAAAAAATATTATCACTCTCCATACATGAAAACGTCATTTTCCCCCTCCTTCTGCCCGAAAAAAGCATGGAGTGAGTCAGTGAGTGAGTCAGTCAGTGGTAATTAAGCTTTATATATTATAGATTATTAAAAAGCTCGACGGCGCAGTGTTTAGTGTTATTATTTGCGATCGTGAAAGATAAGCAACTTTCACAAGGGTCAGTCACAGGATGGGTAACCAAACATTTGTTATCTCAAGCTCCGCCGAGCTTCGGAAATCACGTTAAGCCGTTGGCCCCACAGCATCTGCTGTCGTTAACCCACTTATTTCCGGATATCCGGCTGTGATAACAGGCCAGACATTTAACTATCCAGCTGTAACTGGAACGTCAGCTGGATATCCGGTAACAACGAGATTGACTGGATATCACAGGATATAGATACAGATCGAGATATGGTATATCGCTGAGATTATGGCTGATCATCCAGTATCCTGGATCCAGCCAACCTGATATCCCTAATACATCTGATGTAATGCGGTGGTATCAAGCTTACGTTATCCGAACACAAAGTATATAGTCAGAAATCCAGTACCCCGTTGTGATGTTCACCAGATATCCAGAATTCTGCTGAGGTGTAGTAGTTGTTCTCTTATAATGAGTACCTTAAAGAATCCATCGAGACGCCCCTGTGTGGACCCAGTGCGAGCTTTCATAAGTTTCTTGGCTCCGTTCCTGACTCGTTCCTCGTTGAACTGTTTGTCACCACACAGGAATTTTACGAGACCTTCCTCATCAGGGTCCGTCCACTTCATCTGATTATTTGATAAATAATCGCATATTAAAATAAAAAATAAAACCCAATCAATTCGTATAAATTACGAGGATTGGCTGTATCATATTTTTTATATTTTACCACTTATTCTTATACGGTATCGATTCTGTTGCACAAATTAGACTTGTTTATACACCCAGTTGAACAAAGTTCCATTAAAATTGTCATTAGTTTAAAGAAAGAAAAGAGCTGGTAAGTTTCTTTCACTTGCTTGTTTTTCTTGTCAGCTAAAAGATATTCTGAACGAATGGTAACGGATTAACAATTTGGATGATTCAAAAGTGCTTGTAACAAGCTTCCTTGAATAAAGACATTTTCATTTCGTTTCCAACATTACCAGTACACATTTATAAATCTACAACATTCATTAAAATTTAAAAAACGTCATTAAATCTTAATGGACGTTTGTGAAACAGGATGTTTATATGTCTTGTTTATAGGAAAATTATTAATTTATAGTACCTTTACGAGGTGTTGTAGGATCATGAGAACTAAAAAGCTTAAGGATACATATACCTTACCTCTATATCTTTAGGGTCAGTGACCTCTGGCTCCAGGAACAGTCTCCGGGCATTCTTGTAGTCCCATTCCTCGGGCGGTTGATATTTGTTAGTGTCTATATTTTTGAGTATTTCTTCTAATGAACGATGTTGCTTTATCAATTCTATAGCACGTTTTGGACCGATCCCTCTTATAGATCCGCAGTAGTCACATCCAAGGAGGATACACAAATCTATGAACTAAGAAACATAAAAGAAAACAAAAATATTATTATTTTGAATTTTACTCAATGATATTTTTGTGTTTATCGTTTTTAGTATTTGCTGTTATAACAGCAATAGAAATACATCATCAAAGAGAGTGAAATACATAATTTGTGAAAATTACAATATCTAATTTTAACGGTTCATTATAATGAACCAGATATTGATTAGATATATATGAATTAGATATTGTAAGACTATAGTATTACAGTTGTTACAGTCTGGAGACAAACAGATGGACAGAGTAAGCTTAGTAACAGGGTCCTGTTTTTCCTATTGGGTACGGAAACCTCAAAAAAAAAAAAAAGACTTATAATTATTGTCATTGTATTATCGAAAGATAACGACTTTCAAGATTCGCAAGTCTCGTTTCATCAGTGGAAGAGTACTCTCTCAAATATAACATGTTCGCTGAATAGAATTTCGTACAATGACCCGGAATTACATATCTCTGTAAACATATTGCGTTATTACTATGATAAAAAAATTGGCTAGATGCATCTGTAAAATGTCAATAGTACTAAGGTTAACTTACGAAAATCTCTCTGTTCGGCGACCAGACTATTAACGAAGGGTTGTCGGTTCCACTCCGGTATAGTACCAAAGACAGTTTCCCCAAGTATTTTTTTAAAACTATTATTGATAATTTGAAAAGTCAAGGCAGAATAAATAGTTCGCTGATTTAACTGACTTCAAAATCAAAAAGTAGGAGGTTCTAAATTTGTCTAGATTTTATATATATTTTTAATGTGTTTGTTCTCTGATTTCGCTTACAAGTATTATTTTTCACGCTGGTTCATGTAAATTATAGCCTTTGTTACCTGTGTATAATGTTCCTGTTGGTGATTTTTGTTGAAAATAACCTATTTTAGTAGTTTTAGAGATTATTCAATGCAAACAAACTAAAAATCTTTCCTCTTTATAATATTAGTGTTACAACAAACCTCTTGTTGTTGTAATCCAAGTCCTTCTAGAACACTGTTCAGATGGAATTCCTGCACTGGCATCTTTCTCGCTTCAGAAAATGTCAAATGTCTCAGTAGTACTGTAGCGCCGAATGTTAACGCATCCATATCTTCTGTAGCAGTCGCGTATATTTTACCTGCTTTCACCTGACATGATTAAGGCAATGTTTTACTAAATTGAATTATGGGCTAATTTTGCATTCACAATGCTATACTGAAAAAAAAAAACGTTTATCCACTCTGTCCCTGGTACTTAGAGATAGTTCTAATCCCATCTCTGAGTATCAGAGACAAGAATATGAGATGCAAATAATAAAGTATAGTGCTACAACTTTTACAAGAAAAGAAAAAGCTCATTAAATTCTATGGAATATGATAACACTCTTGAAATATTGAGTAATATGTTACAATAAGGTTTATCTGTCACACGTACATGGCATACATCAATCAATAGGGAATATTACACAAAGCTCGGTGTTGATGGCAGCATAAGCACAAACAGTAAACATGTTTCTACCCTCAGTGTTAAAGTTTAAAATCGAGTGCGGAAGATTGACAGTTTTGTATAACATGACTGTTATCAACTTTGACAGCATTCTTACCAATGCTGCACACTGTGCCTCGGCCTCGCAGGGCGCCTCTACAACAGGAATACCCATCAGCTTGAGCAGCTCCCTCGCTTCCTCACCATGCTGTTTGGTCACTTTCACTAAACGTCTGTTGAACTTTTCGATTTGGGCTTGATCACCTATAGAAAATATTTATAAAGTGAATGATGTAACCTGTATAACTGGGTTCTCAACTAACCTTTTGATCAGATAACCTTTAAATAGCCTTAATTTACCCAAAAGGGAGTTGATTTTTGAATGTGCTTTAAGTAAAATAGTGAAGACAAAATATTTTTTAAGTTATCATGTAAATAAAAAAAAAAACTATTTCTGATACCATGTTGGTCTTAAAATGGTTATGTTTTTCCAACTGAGCTACAGATAGAGATAAATGTTAATAAAACATAGTAAATGCAAAATTAATAATAATTATTACATTTATCTGAACCAACAATACACTCAAATATTTAAAGAAAAGAGAGTAAGTAAAATAGCATGACAAGTGTTTTAAAATACTTTATTTTGATATATCTAACTGTTCAATTTAAATATGATCTACTTCTATGATAAACTTCTTCATATTTATTAGATACATTCTTTAATAAAAAAAAATTACCTGATTCAGTGGCCTTTTGCAACTCCTTTTCCGCTTCCTCTCTCCTTTCGGCTCTCTTGTTCAGCTGATGAGCCTTCAGCTCTGGTGGTTTACCGTCAAACACATACACTGGCTTTATACCATTCTCTACCAATCTGATTGTACGATAGAATGTTCCCATCAAGTGGGATGTTGTCTCTCCGTCTACTGATGTTAGTTGGGCACCTGGAAATATTTATATTGTTATATTATAAGATGACAATCCTATATCCTACTTATGTAGTGCTTATCATGGCCTGGATGTGTCTTGGAATAATTTGAGGAAAGTAATAAGCATACATATACTATGTCCATAGACCAATGAGTAAATATACATAATTTAAACCAAATCAAGTAAAACAGCTACCTTAGATTGTTATGAAATGTTTATAAATTGTACTGTTAATATACTTCAAATAAAACAATACAATTAGCAATATGAATCAATCAAAGCTAATTCTTCCAAGAACTGTTACAGATTGGTTTAAAATAGGCAGTTTATTGTGTTATCTAATATCACAATATCACATAAAAAAGTTTAATGTGTGTTTGGTGATCAGAAAATTGATATATATGTTAAAAATAAAAACGATTGAATAAATTGTGATACTAAATAGTGTTCCCAACTGTAATAATTTAGCAATAAATATAGAGAAACCATCTGATAACTATCCAATCTCACATAGGTTACTAACATATCTTGCCAATAGAATTTATAGAATAATAGCAAAAGTGGTTAATTCTGCTAAATTGCTGCCCTATCAAAGGTTAGGCGTGATTGTTGAAATTACCTTCACTTCTAACGGCGATTAGAAATTGGTACAGACTCATAGAAGCATCAATCGCTATTTTACGTCCTGAAATTAAAGTAATCACAGTAAATAATTATGAAAAACATGATCATAAAGATGACAGCAGAAATTAGCGGCTCCTCACCAAAATAATTTTTAATCTCCATCTCTTTTATAGCTTGAGGAGCTATGTCCGCAATAAGTTTTGATAAACCTAAAATACCCATATTTATTTTGGAAATCAACTCTCTTTTCAGTCAAAGCGAACATTAATCAGATAATCACACAAAGTAAAAATTCGTTTTTGGATTACTTTTTAATACAAAAAATGCGCGCGAATTACAATGAATGTTGTTGCTTTTGACAGTTGAGTGACAATTACGTTAAATCGGAAAATCGTTATATATAGATTCACATAAAAATTGATCAAATCAATGTCAAAGAATCAGCGATATCTATAAATTGATATCCGAAAACATCAAAATATCTAAATCTTAAGTATTATTGTCAATTGTCAGAAGTCTCATATCTAACGGCATCTTCATATGTGATGTGAGTGGAACGTGTGATATTACTTTTTGACCCTGAGTTTTTCCTAAAAATAATTCGTTAAATATCGATTTATTGGTTTTGTGATGATATACCAATATGAACTGTAGCCGATTTATGTCGAACTCGATATACCGATATTTTTATGAACCTCCATCTCTAGCGGTGATAAATGAAGGAATTTAGACCAAAGTGCCAAATAATTGGAAATACTTATACCATTTGTTTTCACTAAATAATAATGCCTTTGTTTTCAAATACACAAATCTTACATAGGTGTTTTATAATATAGGCTGTCTGTCAATATTTATTCATTTGAAAATCAAATTATGAAAAATGTTAAATTTTTGAATTTCGTTCTTCTTGACAGCTTAAATAAGTGAATTTTTACGCTTTTATATTATAAAACTATCCTGAAACCATATTTTCACAAATTATTATTTTCAAGCTAAGCTAATAAAGCATGGCTAAAAAATCAATGAAAATATAACACTTTAAAATGACATAAGAGTATAGTGCTACCATGTGATTATTCCAATAACATAATCGATATAAGATATTATAATAGAAAGTTTAAATTATGTACATATATTATTAAATGTTACATTTATTTAAAGTTGATCATTAAATGATTAATCTGTTTATGGCAATATAACTAAACGTTGTTTGGCAACAATCAGCTGATTTGTGATTTTGTCAATGTCAAAAAGGAAAGACTGCGCCCTAAATAACGACCGTGTCCACGCATCAATACATAGTAAATATATATTAAATCGCTATCACTGAATAAAAACAACGTGTCAATAAAATTATCACGATGGGAAATTATTTTACTGTTAATATGGAAGAGAATTTCAAGAAAAATCAAGAATTCATACAAACCATAAACAAAATAAAAGTGATGTATTTATTAATATTAAACTTGTATTATAATAAAACCAATTATACCTACGATCGAATCATAAAATAAAGTTAAATGTGTTTTTATAGATGGAGAGGCAAATACAGCTGCAATATCAAATGCAAGAAAGGCAAATGGCAATGCAAATTGCTAAAAACAGGGACACATGCCTGTGGCTCACTGCATTCTACTGTGCAGCATCAACAGCTTTATTTACTGGGTAATAAAATCTCTTTTCCTTTAAACACGTCTTTTTTAATACATTTTTGATGGCACCTTATTGAAATAGAAGTATTCTCAAAATATTTTGTTTATAGGTATAATACTGCCACTTCACTGTGAGTGTTGAATAATAATTTAATCTTGTTTAATTCATACAATTTTTAATATCTTGTTATATTTGGTCAATTTTGCATTTGCATTTACAATGTTATACTGAATAATATTCTCAATTAAATATACTTGAAAGTCCACCTGTCCCAGGTACTCTGATGATCATTATATTTTTTATAATAAAACTTGTGAATGAGTATAAAGCATGGACTTTTTGATATCAATTATTATTTTTGAATATTTTTTTTTCATTTTCAGGCTGTCTGATAGAGTGTCCTCTAAGACACAATTACTAAATTTAAACTCTTAATAGGTTAAAACATAATAAATTATTTTTTTCATATAATTTCACATCCATACTTATCAAACAAACAATTAGTAATGTGTCTGTTTGATAAGTAATTTTAAATAGTACTTATGCTAAATAAAATATCTATCTATTTCTCATGTTTAAAGCTGTTCAAAAATTGTTTTATTGAAATAAATATAAAAATAATTAAACCTTACCATAAAATAAAGTTATTGATTAAATGGCTAAGTAATATCGTAGTCCTCTATATTTAAGGATATGAATAATAAATTAAAATGACTTATTTCTAAAACCAGCAACCAATTCTATAGGATGTTTCAAATTATTCTCTTAGCAATGATTGCACAGATATAACTTTATTCTTTGGATAGGTTTAATTAAAGTATTATTTTCTAATAAGCATATAACAGTTTCAGGAGAACAAAAAGAGCATACTTCCTTATTCCCATGGTACCATTAACATTTGTAACCCTTTATTACTGGGATCTTGCTTATGGAAACAAGGTTCATAGAATACGATGTGAGTAACTCGAGGCCTTAAATCAATTTAGTTAATAAAATAAAAGTTATGTGAATATCTTGTCATAAAACATAGATTTGATACATTTTGTATTCTCACTATACATACTTATCTCCATCTCAGTATATTAACCTCTATGAACTTTTCTGGAGTTGATAATTAACTGTAAAAATAGGTGCCATAACGAGGTTATAAAACCAAATGGCGAGGTATTTCAGCATGTAAAAATTTGATATTCTGAATTTTTCACAAAATATTAAGAATGCAGTGTGAATTATTAAGCATGTTTTCAATATTTTTAAGATATTAAAGTTTTTGGCAGAATGTTAGACCTACTAAATAATTTTTCAAGATCATAAAATTTTTTGTAGTTTGTTGTTATTGTAATTATTTATTTTCTACATCTTATTATAAGTAAGATAAATACAAATGTAATTATTTGTTTAGTGGAGGCTGAGCATATAATGACACATGAACCTGATTTACTGGAATGGCCTTGTGGTTTGCCATCTCCATCATCCATTGATCTGGGCCGTTTGGAAGAAGAAGAAAGAAAGAAAATCCATCCACCACTTATTTAAATTAATCTAAGATATCTCTTGCAAGTGTGCCTTCACTGCAGCTAGGCAGCTTGGCAATATAGAGATTTGTTAGTTGATGCTAGAAACGCTTTGTGCTAGTAGATTTACATAGCCAAACTAATATATAAACACTAATTAATCGATTGTGTCCATCCACCCCTACATGTGCATATCTCAAGTTCTGAGGCTTGGATCGAACTGGCGCAGAATTGAGCCAATTTGCATGTCCTGGTCATTGTGGTTGATTTTACATACGCTAGCGTTGATGTCTGGTTGATAACGGAAGGTATAGCGTTAGATTGACGCGTCATTGTACCGTGTGTGACTTACATGTTTATTCATCTACGTAATCTTAAAAAATTGATCTGAATAGATCTCAAAGTTATTGAACCAAGAATTGAATTCAATGTAACTTTAAAGAGGCGATCTAATTTGTTTATGATCGTACGAGCAAAAGATGCGATCGTCGTGCGATGGTTTATTGAGTTTTCTAATGACTTGCACAATGCCGTCGCTAATGCCTCAAGCGACGGCATGTGATCAATTAATACACTTTCAAAGAGATCTTAATATCTCGGGGCTGGGTGGTTGAGGTAACTTAATTATAAACTTGGGATCTAAAAAATGTATAATATATATGATGTTGTCAAATAGTGTTTCCTCGAATGTGTATCGGCTAAACTATGTAAGTCGTAAAAATTGTGATCAAAGCCGGCGGCAAACCAGACTAAAAGTTTAAGCCCGTTACATATGTGATGCGAGAATGCATTATTGTTTAGAATTCCTCGCCTATATGTACATTTCAATTTTATAGTGTCAGTGTAATGTTTAACTTAAACTTTTTCGATATTATAGATGTGAAAGTAAATTTAATAAAATTAATATCCTCTTTTAGAGGTATCACGATGAATAATAATCGTACTTTTTGAATTCTCTGTACTTATATTTAATATTCATAATTCCTAAAACTATTTAGCATGTAAGTGAAGTATAACTTAAACATTCTTTGATATATTTACACCAGATTGTAGATACAGTCAACAGTACGTCAGGTTATAAAAAAAACTGTTGAATTTCTCCCACTCGATTATAAACCTTAATACATATTGTGGTACTCTGACGTGCAGCAGTGTGTACCTACGATGAATTAGTGATGTTATTAACAAAAAAAAATATTATTATAAAATAATTGTAGGTTAAAAAAAGTTTTGAAATACGAACATGTCCTGGCTAAGGCGTCCGACTACTTAGCTAACGATTGTAGGATGCGCAAATGATGTGATTTCGTAATGCGGGATAGATATAATTCAAGCTTTATTTAAAGTAGCTATTTAGTAACATTCCTTATTGAATCACAATTTTTTTTAGATGTATTTTTGTATAGAAAAGCTTATCAAGTGCATAGGTACTTATGAATTGTTACTAATTATGGAGTTTTTTTTGTTATACTTGAAAGCTATTGCTTCAATGTTGTTGTTAGTTATTTTGTTTTTAAGCCACATAAAACTAACTTTTTATAATATTAGTAGTATTATGAGACAAATAAGTAATCTTAGTTAAAGTTAAGTGTTTTACTCAAACTGAAAAATATACAATTAAAATTAATTGATAATTGTATTATTGTTTTATTAAAATCATTAAAAATAAAATAACTTTCGTGGACTCGTATACCAGTTTTGATTTCAGTCCATCTCTGAGACCCCAGATTGGTAAGTGTACCTAAGTTTGACGTTAAGAATTTGTATGAAGATTTTTAGTTCTCAATAGTTACCGCTAGAGGCGTAGTACCGGAATCTTACATTCTAAAATCTTAACGCGCTCGCGATCTACGGTAAACGTAAACGACAAAAAGAAAACTACACTAATCGCTCTGGTTCTATTTATGTTCGGGTTACAGGAGTTAGTATAGATTTCTTTTTTGCTTATCGGATTTTCAGATCTATGTAGATGTGGTAAGTAGGTTGTCTCAGATACTCCATATTAAGGGGGCTTTAGCTAATCTTGGAATCTGAGGAATGTATATGATATTCTAATATTTATACTTATTTATTATTGCTTTATATGGAATAAAGATTTCATAATTTTTAACCACAAAGGGTTTAGCCGGATACGTATGACGAGTCGGCCCCCAAATGGGAATCGATATTGAAACTTATGTTTTAATATCGACTTGATGTTCAAACACGATTTATGTACTTTTCGCGACCGACTTCCGCTTTGACCTTGAGATAGAGAGCAAAATATCCGTATGCTTGACTATTACTGAATGTGATATATCTCTAAAGCTAATTAAGATAAAGAAGTGAAACTAACGCGAGGTGTTAGGTTACATTACAGAGTATATCACATATATTTTTTTTATAATTTTTAGAATAAAAAATTACATTAAAAAAATAAAAAAATCATGTTTTTTTTTCTGAGTTCTCTGTGACTTACAATCACGAAATTAATATATGTTATGCTCCTTTGTGTGCTCTATTACCCATAAAAATTGCGTGAAAAAAAAGTTGGTGTAAGACAACGAAAAAAAATTACATGTGATTTTTGTCTTATGGTATATTGTATTATAAGGTTTTCACATTACATCATTGTTTTTTTTTTCGAAATTTCACATCAGCTTGTTTTAAAACATAAGTAACTAGTCTTAAGAGATGGGATAATAGTTAAAAAAGAAATGGAAAAAAAAATAGCCAGTGTTCAATACTTATTATTATTACTTTTTCGTGTCTATCAAAATACAAGAAACAAAATATTAATCATCGTCACTGTTGTAATTAATTACAATCGGAACACTTTGAGTCGCAAATAACTTAGTTAGGACCTAAGCAGGACGTACGATTTTCGACAAATATCATCCATATGATAGATAATAAATAATAGCTGCTACATAAGAACAGCATCCCACTGTACGTTTGCCATTGGGGCAATCACAGCAATAACGAAGAATACTATTGTAGTCATTACCTTCGGAAATATAGTGAATGTAAATTCGATAGACTTTTATATTTATATGTCTTGATTTTACTTCTGCTTTGATGATATTAGGTGCTGATTTCACATATTGTACTGAGAGATTATTTTGATCGTCCATTATTTCGGCCAAGTTAAATGCTGCACATTTAGAAGTAGAAGCTTTTTTGTTAATATATGGGATAAGTCGACACTTCTTACAAAAAATATCATTAACTATTACGATTTTATTCAAACAGTCACTAAACACTTTAGCTTCTTCTTCATTCTTTATAATTTTTTTTATAACCAGGAATCTTACACAGGTACTTGTTACAATTTTTACACTTTCTCGACATTATTACTTAATAATGATTTGGTTCGATAGTTAATAATTTCAAAATGCTGATACAAAATACCTATGACAGAATTTGAGTCCCAAACTGCCTTCTTGTGTAATACAAATGACTGCTACTTTAGCTAAACAAACGATGCAGTAAACAGCTCGATAACAAGTTCGAACTTGTTTGTTTATACACTCACACTACAAGGCGCGAATTACATATAATTTTTTTTCGTTGTGTTGCACCAACTTTTTTTCACGCAATTTTTATGGGTGATAGAGCACATAAAGGAACATAACATATATTAATTTCGTGATTGTAAGACACAGAGAACTCAGAAAAAAAAACATGTTTTTTTATTTTTATTTTTTTAATGTATTTTTTTATTCTAAAAATTATAAAAAAATATATGTGATATACTCTGTAATGTAACCTAACACCTCGCGTTAGTTTCACTTCTTTATCTTAATTAGCTTCAGAGATATATCACATTCAGTAATAGTCAAGCATACGGTATTTTGCTCTCTATCTCAAGGTCAAAGCGGAAGTCGGTCGCGAAAAGTACATAAATCGTGTTTGAACATCAAGTCTATATTAAAACATAAGTTTCAATATCGATTCCCATTTGGGGGCCGACTCGTCATACGTATCCGGCTAAACCCTTTATTATCTTATTTCAATGAAAACGATAATTATGACTTTAAAATTACTACATTTGCTTAAAAAATGCACTCTGGGTTCCAGGGAAAGAATATTTTTCAATATAGCATTGGGAGTGCAAAATTGAACAAATATAATTAAATAAATTTTGTTGAAACTGTGCTACTTCAAATTTATGTTACCGTAATCAACAACACGTTAGTAAACATTATTAAGTTGACCGCAGTATTTCAATAACAATTTACTGAAGTCATAATTTAACAAAAACTAATTTATAATAAATTCTTGCACGAAAATAGAAACATCCACCAAACATGTTGTCATGGTGTTTTAGAGAGAGAAACAAAACTATCGATTTTTTTTATAATTTATAAATCGATTCAACAATTTCGTGTACCTATAGTAGTCTCGTTACTAAAGTTGACATTCGCGGTTGCCATGGCAACTCACAGATTGTTTAGCTGGGCGCCGTAAACAAATGAATTTCGACTGAGCAAGTAACACATGTGCCGATTTTATTTAGCACTCGTAAAATAAAACATTTGTAAGCTTTATTTATCTGAAACATGGGATACGTGGAATCACACAACTCTTTCGATGTAAGTAATAAAATTAATTTTGAATATTTAATGTATTAATTATAGAACTTTTTACCGAAGTAAAAAGTTCTAACCCATTTTTGGGAGTCATCGAAAAATATCGATTTATATTTTAGTTCCTGTTTAATCAATATTTTAAAATGACGTGCAACACGTAGCGTTTATTCAAATTAGTATCGATAATCCTTATGATTTCCATTTTATGTGCTGTAGTACAAGGCTGGCATATTTTGCGAGTTCCTTATCATTCGGATCACAGGACAAAACATGCTATAGTTTATGCTTAAATTTTAGCGGTGTAACGCATTATAAATACAAATGAACCAGAGCCAGGCGAACCAGAAGAAAGATGAGAGGAAGAAGGATGGCGCACAAAACAAAAATGTTCAAAAGAAAAGCCCGGAAAAAAATATGTCCGAAATAGACGAGCATATTCTAAAGAGGTTTGATATCAAGAAGAGGCTTGGAAAAGGCGCTTACGGGATCGTTTGGAAGGCTGTAGACAAGAAGACCAAAGAGGTTGTAGCGATTAAAAAGATATTCGATGCGTTTCGTAACCAGACCGACGCTCAAAGAACGTTTCGGGAAATTATTTTTCTGCAGTCCTTTCGGAATCATCCTAACATTGTGAAGCTGCACAGCATACACAGGTAAGACTCAAATATACCTACCATATTTTGATAATATGTTTATATTTACGTCGTACGATATGATCAAATAAATAATTTTCTTTATGAGTATCGTTAAAGATTATAAGTTATCGCGCGAGTACCTACAAGGATTCTTATTAAAAATCTGATGAAGAAGGATTAGATTGTGCAATCGTGTTATCAAACTTGTTTAGCTTCCCATTGATGACTCGTTATGGCGCTATCATAGGAATGTGAGGGGCGCGGGATAGCAATGGTAAGTTAAATCGGGATCTATTAGGACACAAACACGAAAGCAAGTTCTTTTTCATCTAAATGAAAAATCCCACCTACAGGCGTGCCGTAGAAGGATCAAAGTAATAGATGAAAATAAATAGGAAGTTAGTGGCCAGCCTTAAATATATTAATCTTCCGTTTGGCCTGCATTTTCAATTAAGTTGAGCAGCCAAATTTCAAATAGGTTAAATAATCGGTATTGGCCGACGAAATCGCAAATTTTGTCGTAGTCTATCTGTCTTTTAAAATATTGCGCTCAACAACCTCTATTCCAGGTCAACATCTCGACGACTTCGAAGAGCAAAAACTGCCTTTCGCGATTTTCAATGCATACATAAAATTGATTATTGTAATTACTGATTACCTAACGCAATTTTTGTAAGATTTTTTGTTTTATATCGTGATGCGTGTGCGTGTGCGTATACATTGTGATCTAATCCCTGTACGCTTAGAATGACGTCCTTATAATAAAATAGTAGCACGACGAATAAAGTGAGGTATTTTATGGTCACATCTGAGAAAAGTGACGTTAAGGTGTAGAAAAACTTTCGTTGCGATCGTCATGCCATCCGAGTAGACTACCTTTTAGATAAATATTATAATCCATTGATGTTTAAGTCATGGAGTACTTGCTTTATATTTTAATTTATACACACAATATGTATTTTTTTGACTATAACTTACTCTAACTTACTCTCACTTTTGATCTCAATCCCGTCATGGGCATAGATAAGATCTACTGTTGTTGTATTTATACGCCAAGTTTTAAACCATCGCGCGGCGAAATCGCATCGTTTGCCAATAAGGACACCCTAGTGTATTCAAATGTGTTCAGTATGTTTCGCACTTTGGTGTTTAATAAAAGAGAAAGTCAATTAAAAGCTTTTCTATCAGTAGCGATTGCCTAGCTATTGTCGTCGCGCAGGCACGCGAACTTTCAAGGATCCCGTAACCATTTAATAATGGGAACTGCCTACTAGCTATAAATTCTCATTAATTTTATTAATTTAAGCACTAGCTTTTCCTATAGAACTTCGTGGCTTTGATAATATAATGTAGATTTTTCGATTAAGGCTTAAGGTTACCACTTTTCGGTAACTACATTATTTTTGTATGACGAGGAGTGATAGCACATTGGTTTACGTGATTGGGCGACGATGCGAAGGTTAAGTAACTTACGCAAGAGCTGGTCAGAGCATGGGTGAATAAAATGTAGTATCTCGAGCTCCTCCGAGCTTCAAAAGTCACGTTAAGCCGTTGGTTGGTCTACCTATTTTATTCCATCCAAGGCATAGGCCTGTAGCCCAGCAGTGGGGATATTGATAAATTGATGATGCTTATAATTAATGTAGGTATTCTTATTTAATGTATTTGTTTTATTATTCTCTGTTACGGTAAAAATAGTTTATATTTTAATAGAATAGTACAGTGCGTACATACATGATGGTATGTGCCTACTAAAATAACTTATTCCATTTGTTAGATAATACGAGGGTCAAACTGAAAGTTCTTAGAAAATCAAAAACTGATTACATTAGCCAGTTATTAGTTTTATTATATCTTTTCAAAATATTGTCCATTCACGTCAATACACCGCTGCATGCGATGGAACCACTGGGAAAAGCACTTTGCCCACTCGTCCTTAGGGGTCTCTTCAATGGCATCGCGATACGCAGCCACCGCTTCTTCAGCATTCATAAACCGCTTTCCTTTAAGTTTTTCTTTAATTTTTGGAAATAAATAAAAATCACAAGGCGCGAGGTCGGGGCTATACGGCGGGTGACCCAGTAATTCAACGTTTGATGTCGCCAAATAGTCGATCGTTCGCTTGGCGGTGTGCGACGAGGCGTTGTCGTGGTGATGGAGGATCCTACTGCGAGGTCGTTTCTCTCGAACTTTTTCCAAGACAAGTGGCAAACAATTGGTAGTGTACCATTCTGCAGAAACTGTTTTTTGATCCTCTAACACAATTGTTGCAAAATGACCTATCCTTCCAAAGAACGAGGCCACCATTTTTTTTCCCGCACTTCGATCTCTCTTCACTTTAGTTGGCAACTCCTCGAAAGGAAACACCCACTGAGCAGATTGTCTTTTGGTTTTAGGATCATAACAGTAAATCCAGCTTTCGTCACCTGTTAGTATGTCGAACACAGCATTTGAGTCACCTCCGTTAAATCTTTCAATCATTTTACGACACCAATCCACACGATGGAGTTTTTGAGCCTCAGTCAAATTATGAGGTATCCACCGGGCGCAAAGCTTCCTGACCGCTAAATGTTCGTGGAGGATTTTGTGCACTTGACTCATACCGATGCCTAAGCTTGTCCGAATCTGTTGATAGGTCACTCTTTTGTCAGTCTCTATCATACGCCGCACAACACAGATGTTATCTTCAGTCGTCGCCGTAGAAGGCCGTCCCTCACGTAAATCATCAGTGAGATTAGTGCGACCACGTTTAAACTCATTAAACCAGTTGTAAACAGTCGCACGAGATGGGGCTTCATCGTGAAAGGCCAATCGTAGTCTATCATAACTTTCTTGTTGACTTAAATGACATCGAAAGTCATAAAAAATCATTGCACGAAAATTTTCTCGTGTTAAATTCATGATGACGTGACACAGACAATTTTCAATTTGCCGCCAAATCGTAAAACAAATGACAAATGAATGAAATATATACTCAGTAATATTGGCAAAGAGTTATATTTTCAAATTTTAGAATTATTTTTTTATTATATTGTTTATAAGTGGCCAGTTCTAAGAACTTTCAGTTTGACCCTCGTAATGATATGACTTGCTTTTCTTGCTTTGTCTAGGATTTCCTTGAATTTCAAATTATATGGATCGAATGAAAGGCCTTTTCCCGTTCAGAATATCTACCCAATTATTCATTAAACTTATTAAAGATATCAAGGTTGTCGATTCGAGTTATTTAAAGTTCAATTGATTTAACGAAGTTATAGATTCTTTTTTAAAAACGGTTATTCTATATAAAAGTGGTGCTAATGTAGTGCCTTGTAGTACTTATTAGTTCTAACACAATTTCAGGGCTTTGAACAACCGCGACATCTACCTCGGCTTCGAGTATATGGAGACTGACCTGCACAATGTCATAAAACGCGGTAACATTCTGAAGGACATACACAAGCGGTATATAATGTACCAAATGTTGAAAGCTACGAAGTACATACATTCAGGGAACGTGATACACAGGGACCAAAAACCTAGTAATGTCCTTATAGATAGTGCTTGTAGGTGAGTCAATTACTGTTCATCGAATTTATAACATAGTGTTTTAACGTACTTACCTCTAATCATTTCTTAAGAAACCCGGAAACCATCTTCACTCTAAATTCATAGCGAGCTAGGAAAAGATGCACTGCTATATTAATTCTAATAAATATATTTCCACAAGGAAAATTGTGACTTAATTTATGAAATGCCCCCAAAGCATGTCTTATTTACATAATTTTGGATACTAGTCTATTGCTCTTTATGGAATAAATTTAATTTCTATTTTCTTCAAGTATCGTCTTAAATACATGTCTTAAAGTGAAAGCTAAGCCAATATTGTTTCTTTCGAAAAAATATTACGTTTTGACGGTCTCAGTTGTGGAATCATTTTCATTATCAGGGTGAAAATAGCTGACTTCGGTCTGGCCAGATCCGTATCCAGCATGTATTCGGGCGGGGAGGAGGGCGCTGATCCATGTCTCACTGATTACGTTGCGACCCGCTGGTACCGTGCTCCTGAGATACTCATCGCCAGCAAGAAGTTTGTGTTAATATTTACTTATCTCTGATTTAGCTAAAAGGTTTTAAGCCGATTTCGATCCATTTATTAGTAAGAGTCCGGGCAAAACTATCAGTAAAGTGAGTAAAGCCACGCGTAGCGTATCTTTGAGAGTATACAACTTTCATTGGGTCAATCTCAAATGACAGCTTTCAAACCTGGAAATTTATAATAGAGTTTCTACGTGTTATATTTGATTTATTTTGCATTCATATTTTTTGCGGCTGTTTGGGTGGATTGAATAAATGTTCAATGATTAAAAATACGGGCATTTATAGCGAAAAGTAACAACTGCTTGAAAATTCTTCAGTTCTGTTGGGTCTCGGGTAATTCAATAGTTAGAGCAGTCTTCGAGGTATCTGGGGCCGGTGGATTTTGTAAGAATTTTTAATTAAAGATATTCCCATGTGTGTAATGGTTATATTGTTGTTATAGAAAAGGACTTCTTATTATCATTAAGATGTAGTATATTAATGGCTGGCTTAATAACTATCAGTTACAAGATAAATTTAAGAGGTTGCAATACGCGGCATGTAAGTTAAATCGAACTGGCGGCTGCACAATAGCACATTTTCAGGTCCCAATCGAAGGAGGTAGGTGAGGCGCAGTGCATAAACATAGTAATGAATTATAGTCCGTGACTATACCTAAGTGGAAAACCGCACCAACGCGCATGTTTGCTTTAACAATCACTTTTATTTAAGCCTCTCTGGCGTGAATTAAATTTAAACTAGGATTTTTTTGCCATTTACGTCGGTCTCACTTGGTACTATAAATTATTTCCATAAGTAAATTAAAAAAAAAAATTAAAAGACTAGGGGACCGCACTGTTGACAAACTTTCCGTTAACCAGATGTGGTAACGGGTAAGCAACCCCGGACTGCCCGAGCTACTGCATGCCACTTTCCTACTTCCGTCCGTGGTGGCAGTATCCCACCTGTTTCCCTATCCTAGATTTCCCTCATACTTTTTCCAACCATATTCTTCCACCCAAATCCTATTCCGCCCGTAAGGTGACGGGAAAATCACCTACGAATCCATTCCTAAGGAGGATAGACGTCAGGCAGGCGGCCGGTCGTAAATTTCAGCCAAATCTTACAACAACATGAGTATATCGGATGATGGAATGTGAGTAAATGCTAGGGCGTACCTCCGAGGCGACGCGCAGACGTAGCACCCGGCGGATGTGAGAAATGGGCGAGGGTAGTTGCATCAAGGACGGATGCAACGTAAGACGCGAGTCCGGAGAATGAAAGTGAGAATGGCCAGCTGGAATGTAGGTACGATGACTGGACGAGGAAGAGAGTTAGCGGATGTTTTGCAAAGGAGACGAGTGAATATTGCTTGTTTGCAAGAAACGAAGTGGAAGGGGACGAAAGCAAGGGAAATTGGGGCGAGTTACAAATATTATTATTGTGGAAGTGACGGAAGGAAGAATGGAGTGGGTATTGTACTTGACAGAGAGTTGAAAGAAAGCGTGACGGATGTAAAGAGGATAAATGATAGATTGATTGTAGTGAAACTTTTGTTAGGTGATGCAGTTCTGACTGTTATTAGTGCATATGCACCACAAACAGGCTGTGATCAAAGTATGAAAGAGAAGTTTTGGGAGGATTTGGATGCAGTAATGATTAGTATACCGGACAACAAGGACGTTTATATCGTAGGAGATTTAACGGCCACGTAGGTAGAATGAATGTTGGGTATGAAAGAGTGCATGGAGGGTGGGGCTATGGTACCAGAAACGTAGAGGGAGACACTTTGCTTCAAACTGCTATTGCATACGACCTTGCAATAGCAAACACCTTTTTCCAAAAGAAAGACGTGATAACGTACAATAATATTAATATTAAGAAGTAGAAATTTGAAGTATGTCAAAAATGGTAAGGTTATACCTGGCGAACCCCCTTGTCTCCCAACATAAACTTCTGATCTTAGAGATTAAACTTCTGATCAAGTCCACCAAAACCCGAACTAAGCTACCACCCAAGATTAAATGAAGTTTATTAGAGGACAGAGAGCGTACAGAAGAATTTCGAAAGGGAGTGATAGATAAAATTATTGAAATGATTGATATGAAAGGAAAGACAGTTAACGAATGCTGGAATGTAATGTCAGAATGTATCAGAAGTGAAGGTAGAAGAGTGTTTGGGGAAACGAAAGGGAAAAGGAAAATAGACAGAGAAACTTGGTGGTGGAGCGAGGAAGTACAAAAGAGTGTAAAAGATAAGAAAAATGCGTTTAAGGAATGGAAGGACACTGAGGGCGATGATGAGGGTATGAAAGAAATGAAAAAGAATGTATACAAGAAAACAAAGAAGAACGCGAGAAAGGCTATTGCTGTTACAAGGGCAAAAGTGCAGGATAAACTGTACTCATTCCTAGAAAAACCACAGGGTCAGAAAGCATTGTACAGGATAGCCAGAGAAAAAGAGAAGAATGCAAGGGATATTGGGCATGTGAAGTGTGTGAAAGATGAAGGAGGAAAAGTTTTAACTAAGGATAAGTATATTAGAGAGCGTTGGAAGGGATATTTTGGTAAACTTCTGAATGAGGAGAATGATTGGAGTGGAGTGCTAGAAAACGTGCAAGTGAATAAAATAATGGTTAAGGAGGTGAGTGTGGAGGAAGTGAAAGCGGCAGCACGAACTATGAAGATTGGAAAGGCACCAGGCCCAGATGCTATACCAGTGGAAGTTTGGAAGTTTCTGAAAGTTGATGGATGGAAGTGGTTGACTTTATTCTTCAATAAGTTGTTACAAGAAGAGGTGATCCCTGACGAGTGGTGCAACAGCTTGTGCCCATCTACAAAAGAAAGGGTGATATACAAGACTGTAACAATTATCGAGGAATTAAGCTCATAGCGCACACGATGAAGATTTGGGAGAAAGTAATAGAAAGAAGAATGAGAGATGAGAGCGAGATGACCCAAAACCAGTTTGGATTTATGCCTGGACGAGGTACGACAGACGCCATATTTGCACTTCGCCAGCTGTGCGAAAAATACAGACGTGCACATAGAAACTTACACATGGTGTTCGTTGACCTTGAATACGACAGGGTCCCTCGGAGTGTGTTATGGTGGGCTCTGACCGTGAAAGGTATACCAGGTAAGTATATAAGATTGGTGAAAGCGATGTATGAAAGAGCAAACACTCGCGTCCGGTCGGAAGCCGGATTGACCGACCAGTTTGATGTAGGCGTCGGGGTGCACCAAGGATCAGCTTTAAGCCCTTACTTGTTCCTTCTGGTAATGGATGCTCTGACATCAGACATACAGGAGGAGGCACCTTGGTGCATGCTTTTTGCTGATGATATTGTACTGGTCGGAGAAGATGCACTCGAGGTCCAGATCAGGTTGGGAAAATGGCAAAAGAAACTGGAGGATTTCGGTCTCAAAATCAGCAGAACCAAAACCGAACATCTGTTCTGCGATTTTGGTGGAACTTTACCAATCTGCTCCGACTTCAGGTACCTTGGGTCATTAATACAAAACGATGGCGATGTTGACCGTGACGTGAGGAATAGAATAAATGTGGCATGGATGAAATGGCGAGAGGTCTCAAGAACGAAATGCGATCCACGAATACCCCTTAAACTTAAGAGGAAAATCTATAAAACGATCGTAAGACCTATCGTACTGTATGGTTCTGAATGTTGGGCTACAAAAGGGACGGATGAAAGGCGAGAACATGTGGCAGAGATGCGAATGTTGAGATGGATGTGTGGAGTGACGCGAATTGACAAGATTAGAAATGAGTACGTAAGAGGAAGCCTAAAAGTTGCACCTGTGACGGAGAAAATGAGGAGTAATCGACTAGCGTGGTACGGGCATGTTATGAGAAGGGACGAAAGTCATGTTACGAAAAGAGTGATGGGTATGCATGTGGATGGATATGTGAGTAGAGGCAGACCGAAGAAAAGATGGATCGACTGTGTGAAAGAGGATATGAATAAGAAAGGTGTGGATGTGGAGCTGGCGTCTGACAGAGAAGAATGGAAGAAGAAAACATGTTGTGCCGATCCCACGTAACGTGGGATAAAGGGCAGGAGGATGATGATGAAGTAAATTGACTAGGGCAGATGACCCGGTTTTAGCCGTTTTAAAATTATGACCTAGTTTTGGCTACTTTAAGAGTTACGACGTTATAACGCCTTGAAGTTCCAATCAGCCAAATAGGGGGCACTGACCAAAACTGTGTCTTCTGTCCTGCTACTATGTTACATGTTATGTTGCAGCTACACAAAGGGTATAGACATGTGGTCGCTGGGCTGCATATTAGGAGAGATGTTGACAGGCAAACCATTGTTCCCGGGTACGTCTACTGTCAATCAGATCGAGAGGATTATGGCGGCCTTACCCAAGCCTTCATCTGAAGGTATGTTTTAGTACATAATTTATAACTTTTGCTAGAATATGGTCTCATATAGCTGTCGAATGTAGCTTTTGATCACTGAATAGAACAAAAGAACTTTACACCTTTTGACAGTAGTTATGAAATTTCCATAATTATGCTTTTTCATTACAAAATAAATATTGATGAATGGATGGATTTTGGCTTGTTCTTACCGATCAAGCTTCTGACTCAGCTATGAAAATTATTAATGAAACATATTTGTAATAATATTGGTAATATTGGTAATGTTGGTTTCTAAATCAATAATTTTAAAGACTGCATTTGGGACAAACGGCCGAAAGGTTCTTTTTCATTGGTCGATATAAAGCTTCCGGAGAAATCCTTGAAGAATCATAATGGCATCTTTTATATATTATCTAAGTTCAGTAACTGGCATTGCGGTACATTTATTTAATAACGCAGGGGAAATACACCTTAAGCTTTAAAGGTTAAATCCGCATGCTCATTTACCTCACGCGGATAGGAAGACCCCGGTATCCTACAAGGAGGGCCCTGTTTCTTCCTTGGGCTCCGCTCGCGGAGGATGGAGAGGAGTCACCCTATTACGGTCTTATCGTCTAGTGAATACTTCCCTGTATGGGGAATAGAGTCC